GATTTTGCAGTAGCCATTTTAGTATAAAATTAATTTGAAAAGAAGGAAGGAACAGTCATTCTCTTAAATTAACTATGCACACACAAACAATTTTGTTGCCAGTGCTTTCATGTCATAGCTTCCTTTCTTGGGAACAGAAGAAAACATCTTGGCTGTGTATCCAACCACTCTATTCACTGAACAACATACCTCTTCTCCCCTTGGTAATATATATAGCCTTCAGCCATAAGGGACAATTCTGAGAAATTCACTTGACAGTAGTGAAAAGGGATGGTGGCTATAATAATCTGATAAATGTTCTGGAAAGCATGCTCATTCAGATGGAAGAATCTTTCTTGCTGTTAAATAGTGCTGCAGTTTGGCTTCAGGCTGCTTTAGCATCTGTGGATTAGTTCTGTTCATTCATCCTGATGTTCTGCAAAAAAAGGGATATGGGCTAAGGCTCTCTGTCATTTAGATGCAGGGATTCCTAGGCCTTTATAGATTATATTGATTTTAGAACAATGGCAGAAAATGCTCTTGTTTATAGGATTATTCTGACTTTTACTAGAATCTTCGAAATCATAGCTGGACATACTTAGAATGAAAGAAATTTGAAGTCACAAATTAGTTCTGAGTAACAAAGATGAAAGAATATTAGACCTTCTGGCTAATGCCCCACCATCAATAATGTCCCCCCCCATTGTGGCAATATAATTAAAAGTAAAAGAAGTGAAATTTCTATTGCTGCTTTAGAACAACCAAAATTCAAAAATCCTGGTTGAGTTAGCTACTTGGAGATTGATCAATAAATTCTAATTTATTTTAACCAGTTCTGATGTAAAGGTTTTGGTCAGTGGGTCAGGCAATCATAAGTATGGTTAGGAATTTTGTTTCCTGCCATTACAAGTTGTTTTTTCTTATTAAATTGGATGTTTCCTATTTTTAAACCGTTGTCTGTCCTGAAAACCTTATGATACAGGCAGAGGATGACTAGGGATACGCTCTAGATCATGGGTGTCAAACTCGCTGCATCACGTTGCCATTATGTGACATTTCATAATGTTTTTCCCATTCGTGGAGCTGGGATGGGTATCGCCTGCGCATAACACATTTGGCCTACGGTACCCCAGTTTGACACTCCTGCTCTGAATAGTTAACCATATTTTTCTAGTTTTAAGACTGTGGAAATGATAAAATCATGTCCTTTAGGAATGTAATAAGAACATGAGAGTTCATGAGGAAGAATTAGAACATTTAAGATAATTGTACGTTTTTCTCTTTCTTTTCATAATCCAAGTTTGCAAACCACTGGTATTCATTGTAAAATAGCTCTGTAGCCTTAAACTATTGTGGTATTTCATCAGTTCAGACAGTGGTATTTTTCTTTTGGTTCGTTTTTGGCAATAAATTAAGACTTCCTCTGAGAAAAAAAGTTCATTTTTCTAGATTGTATCCCAGGAGATTTTATCCTTTGAGCTTGCTTCAAATGGTTTACACTGAACAGGTTCAGACTATCCATATTTGGATGCTTCTATCAAAAAAAAAAAAAAATTCATGCTTGGGACCTATTTTAAAGAGCAAGTATTATCATTTTCTTTAGAATTATCTTCAACAGTGTTTTTATTGATCCTTAGTTATGTAGGTGAAATGTTTTGCAGTCATTCTATATCTTGAATATGAATTTTAGATTGGTCATTTACTTTGCCATGTACAATTGAAGCCACTTTAACAAAGTACAACTTTAACTCACTTTTTACTTTCCGGCTCTCACAAATTAGTTTGAAGCTGACTCCTAATTGTGTTCATTTTTGCTGCCCTCAAAATACTGAGATTGAGTAGGAAACACTATGTGCCTCCCAGTTTTCTATCTGGATGACTGACAGAAAAGCTCAACAACTCAACTATCCTGTCCCACTAACAAAATTCCCATCTCCCCAGAAAAATAAATTGTTAGCACCATTTCCCCATTCAATTGTAAGTATATATTATATTTCCCCTGTTGAAAAGCTGCCATTACTACTGTTTCTCTTAAAGAAACAGAGAGCTCTTAAATCAGCTCTCTATGGCTGGAAGGCTAGCATGATACAGGTAGTCCTCGACTTACAACAGTTCATTTAGTGACTGTTCAAAGTTACAACGGCACTGAAAAAAGGAACTGATGGCCGGTTTTCATAACTACAACGTTGCAGCATCCCGATGGTCATGTGATCCATGTTCAGATGCTTGGCAACTGGTTCATATTTCATATGATCTCCTTTTGCCACCTCTTCACAAGCAAAGTCAATGGGGGGGGTGTCAGATTCACTTAACAACCGGGTTACTAACTTATCAACTGCAATGATTCACTTGAGGCAAGAAAGAGCGTAAAATGGGACAAAACTCACTTAACACATGTCTTACTTATGGTAACAACAAATTTTTTTTTGAATCTGGCCTCCCCATTGACTTTGTTTGTCAGAAGGTCTCAAAAGGTGATCACATGACCCTGGGACAGTGCAACCATTATAAATATGAGCCAATTGCCGAGCCGCTGGATTTTAATCATGTGACCATGGCAATGCTGCAACCGTTGTTAAGTGTCATTTTTTTCCAGTGCCATTGTAACTTTGAAACGGTCACTAAATAAATTATTGTAAATCGAGGACTACCTCTATTGGGGGGAAAAAGTCTGGCTAACCATCAGGTTTAATGTACAGACACACAAAAAAAGCAAACAAGAACACAAAAGACTGGGAGGTCTAGAGCCAAGCTAAGAGCAGCTCAAAGCATATACTTTATGCAGAGTGGGCTGCAAAGACTGCTTGCATGTTATAATTCCTATTTGGGCGTTCTGTTCTTCTTCCCAAGATATAATCAGCCATGGACAATATAAAATAAAGAGAGAGTTGTATTCTATGTTGCTTGATTTTGCGGGAGGAAGTGGTTGAGCAAGATCCTTTCAATTGGCTTGTTTTCTTAGCGTATCTACTTCATTCCTTTGCTGCTATTGCCGTGGCTTATTACGTTGCCGTCCACTAGGATCAGTTCCCAGAAGTCCCTAGAAGCAGAAGAAACATCTGTAGCACTTAGAATTTGTTTCCTTGCTCTTCTCACTATTAACTTCTTTCAATGGAAGCAGCAACCACAAGAAGGAGAAAGTAGCAAATTACAGACTAGGCAAAGAGGAGACCGGCAGTGGATCCTTCCTTGAACAGGAAACCCCTCTAGCAACTGCCCCCAAATGTCATCTCTGTAGCTAATAAAATCAATAGGTAAAACAGTAGCTTGGTTTTTGTGGTGCATTTTCACCAGCTAATAGAATGATATCTGATGAGGTAGCCTATTTATTTTTCTTCCATTTTGGGTGGTTTTGCCCAACTTGAGTTTCTCAGATTAAAATTGGAATTCTTAGCAATCTAGCTTCTTACCAGTCTCTTTGTGCAATTGATAAAGTTGTTTTTAGAGCTGCTTTTTCCACTTCCAGAACAGCTTACTGGAAAGCATTTCTCTACTTGGGAAGAGGGTCCCTAGGGGACCTCTGGTCAAGCAGAAGTTCCTCTAATGATCATTCATTACAGAGAACTAATTATTTCAGGGCGGCTCCTTCTGCAACCATAACAAGGTTATCTATCACATTAGGATATTTGCAGAACATTCTCTCTCTCTCTGTCTCTTACATTTTGCATTTTGATAGCTATCAAATTCCATGTAGCTGAACAATTCAATTTAAGAACATAAATTTCAGAAACACATTCTTTCTGCCAGCCAGTGGTAAAAGCATAATCTTGAAAATTGTAAAAAAAAACCAAACATACAAACATCCTTAATCATTCAGTGTTTCATCTGAGTACATATTTGTATTTTCTGCTCCCTCCACCATCATTTCCATATTATATTTCTATCATACCTTTATATTTTCATTTAGATTGTACATCATTCTTCCCAAATTTCTTATGTTTATATTAATTCATCAATTATCTAATTATATATATATATATATATATATCCTCTCTAACCATTGATATAATTGCCCCCATACTTTAAAATACTCCAACATAAGCTGACTCTATGCAAGCTAATTAAACATTGGAAATATTTGCTCTCCATGTCTGGGCTAAAGCTGCCTCATCTTACACAACTGAACTCTTTTAACCTGCTTGTCACAATGGGGAATAAAAGCAATTCCCAGCCATTCAATACTGTCCAGTGAGGATTAAGCAATTATGAGGGCTACTGGTACAAAGTAAAATTAAATGGAATATTTCAGATGGAGGTATAACAATTGTTTGTTATAATGGCCCTTTTATTTTGATATATTATTTTCATATTTCTTAATTGATCTGAAAAAAATAATTGCAGAGGGTGATTGTTTTAATATGAATAATAGTTGGTTCTGGTGGTGAGTCCCTGAGGAAGAAAGCTGCTTTGAATCTAGCTTGCTTTTACATGTTTTTTTTTCCCCTGTAGTTTTTTTCTGGTGGCTAATTGTGACTTTCTATTGCATTGTATCTGATTATTCTGTTCATTTACATTTTAGAATTTAAACAGCTTTTCATCTGAAATATAAAGTGAGAATGTGACAAAAGATGTTTTGAACTGCATGTCTCTCAAATGCTGTAATTTTCTTGATGGGCAGAATTGATTGTGATCGCTGGTTGACAGCTGGCGCAATTGGATTGTGATGTATGAAATGGCCCCAAGTAATTAAAACTTTAAAATTAGAAATTTACAAAATCTCATTTAAATATTTCAAATCCAGTTGATTTACATTTTGAATAAAGTAGCTGTTTCAGTATTTAACTGAGAATTATACGCCTTTAAAAATTAAAAGCATTGGTGGTATTGAACTGAACCAGTTATGGGTAATAGGGATCATAAATGGACTTAATTATCTCATAATAAATTGGTACACTTTAAGTATCAATAAATCTTCGTTTTCATACTGCTTATGTATAATTAATGTACTACACCTTGCAATAAATATACCTTGCAATTCAGCATTAACCTCCATAATTCTAGATGTTTCTGTCATCACTTAGGTTTCGTCACAGTCCTAATTGCTTTTATTTAAGAGACTGGATCATCCACAGCTGGATTAGGAAGTGCCTTAAATTTGGTGCACAGGATAAAGCTTTGTATACTCTACAAAACAAGGTTTTTAAATTTTATTATATTTTATTTTGTATGTAAAAAAAAACTAACGAAAAAGAGAAAAACAAATGTCTTTACAAAATCATACTTTGCTCATGTACTCATCAAAACTAACGTTACATAGGACACATTCTTGACACGCTACACTATTAAATTGTTAATTTTTATACCAGTCTTCTTAGCATGCATACAAAAAATGGAAAAGGAAAAAAAGAGAAATGTTTATAAACATTATGTGCAATTCAGAATTTGCAGTCCTCATATTGGGATTCCTGGTGAGAAAAATTCTGGTCCAAACAGAGCAAAAAGTAAGTTGATCAGACCATTATATAATAGATGAGAGAACGGATGTTCTTGTATCATAAACGTTTTTACAACCACGAGTGCATATGATTTCTATTTCCATTTTCCACTTGATTCTTTCCAAACCATTAATATTTAATTCAAAAGATCCAAAATATCTACAAAAGAGAATTATTCTTTTAGAATAGTATTAATATATGAAATAACCTAAATAGTTGAATAAAAGGGACCCCCTGGCACAGGGCCACATTAGGTGAGTATCATATCACGTCAAAACATATTGAATACCACATCTACAATAATGATCTGCACCCATCTAGTTCTTTCTTTTAATTTTTTTAAAAAAATATATGTAAATGTCCAATTGACCCAAAAAATCATTTTTGATTTAAATATAACTTTAGAATTAGAGAACTGTGACACATAGATACCCAAATGGTCTTCCATTCACATTTGAACACTGTACACTATAATTCCTTACTCCATTTCTCTTTATGCTTTTAAATTTCTCAGTATATTCTAACAAGGATTCATAAATAGTTATTGTAGGCTTTATTTGCAAAGACATATTAATCTTTTAATGTAAAACGTTTAAGAAGGGGGCACATTCTGTAGCACTTAAGCTATATATATATATGGATGTCAGGAAATATTGTTATTGAAAAATTTGCTAATACTTGGATTGCAATTATTCAAATAATGAGTATATGTGATTTCATCTTATTAATAAACGTATTAATAGCAATAGCAATAGCACTTAGGCTTATATATCGCTTTACAGTGCTTCACAGCCCTCTCTAAGCAGTTTACAGAGTCAGCATATTGCCCCTAACAATCTGGGTCCTCATTTTACCCACCTCGGAAGGATGGAAGGCTGAGTCAACCTTGAGCCTGGTGGGATTTGAACTGCCAAACTGCAGGCAGCCAGCAATTAGCAGAAGTAATCTGCAGTACTACACTCTAACCACTGTGCTGCCGAGGCTCCAATATATTAATATATTCCACACTGCATCTGGATTCCACAATAAAAGGATTACCTTGCTATTTTAAAATTTAAAGTAAGAGTTATTTTTACTTGTTTTTTTTATAAAGGGCATTAATTAGTTATGCTGAAATTCTGAACAGATACATATATTACGTATATGATCTGGCCAAGGTAAAGAAATACTTTCTTGATTTCAATAAGGGTAATTTAACCCCGCTTAGATCTCTCCCACTGAAATCCATCAATGAATACCTTTAAAACTTTGGCCTAGATTGCAATCAATTTGTTTATTAAGGGATTTGATAAATAGCTTGATTTATTTAATCAGACTGCACACACTACAGCAGGGTGTCGAACTCAGGTCGTCACGGCGGTGTCACGTGACGTATCGGGACTTTCTTTCCCTTCGCTAAATCTGGCATGGGCGTGGCCAGTGTGTGATGCATCCGGCCCGCGAGCTGGAAATTTGACAGCCTTGCACTACAGTAAGCATTTAAAGGAATGATTTCTATTTAACTGAGAACTGTTTTGAACAAAAGCAGAAATATCTGCCTGAGCCATTTTCCTGGGCTACAAGAGCCACATTCCTTGAAGTACTTACTGCCTTATGTTTTTGTCTGGCACTCGAGTTAGATTTTTGAGGTCTCCTGCGTCAGCGGTACAAAGATACTTCAATGTCAATGTGCAGTTAAAGGAAATGGTTCTTATTGCTAAACGTTTTGAAGGCTTGGCATGAAAGGATATAAAAACATGTTCTTCTTTCCTGGTGTGCCAAAGCGTAGCAGGAAACAAAAGGAAATGGCAGAAATTTCAAAATACCATCTCTCCTTGGCTTGGAATGCAAAGGCCATTCATATAGTGCGTGTTGGAGAATATAATACGTGTCCCTGTGAGAGCTCATGCCTGTGCTTAATGAAAAATAAGAGTACTAATTTCTCTGTAAAAGTTCACAAGTAGAAAGTGGCTGGGTACATTCACGTAGCCAGATGGTTATGGGCCCTAATCTCTGATGATGAAAAGAAAACATAACATGAGGTCTGCTGGATGTATAAATTCAGCCTCTCTTCTTGATTAAAAGATTAGCTTAATGGAAGGGAGGTGGGAAAGCTGTCATGGATTTCCTGAAGCATAAGTCAATTAATGCTGCCTCTCTGAAGTAGCATTTTTCAAACTTGGTAACTTTAAAGATGTGTGGGCTTCAGCCGCAGAATGCGGGGAGATGAAATGTACAAAATTTAATGTTGCCAAGTTTGAAAAACATAGATCCTGTGCTAGCCAACGGGTACAACAACTGAATTCTTCCAGCACAAGCTGCTCTGCAAATTCTTTCTTATGTTCCCATGTCCATCTATGAAAGCGAAAACAGAAGTGGAATGCATACTGATAGACATCTCTTTAGACTTGCTCAGCCATGTCATGCATTCAGAAGTACGGCATTAACACAACTTTGTTCTCTGCTCATTTTTTTCCAGGTCCAGTTTGGAATAATTCCAGATAGTTTTACCTTCAATTTATTATTGGATTCTTTTATAAAAGATGAGAACTATGAAAGTAAGAAACAAATTTATTAAGCATTAGATATTATGTATATATTAAGTATTTCACCCTTAATATGTATTGTGCATTTCTACTTTCCTGGACGTGGCCATTTTTGAGCATATTTCTTTATGTTTGTTTGTTTGTTATGTTTATTGTATTTGTATACCGCCCTTCTCCCAAAGGACTCGGGGCGGTGAACAGCCAGCAGATAAAATACAGAAAATACAAAATTTAAAACAATATTAAAATCCAATTAAATTAATTTGGCCCACAATTAAAACACCCCTATATTAAAACCCATAATTTAACAATTTAAAATTAAAACAATTTAAAAAGTTAGGTCAGGTCAGTCCGGCTTGATGAAACAGAAACGTCTTTAAGGCACGGCAGAAAGTGCGCAGATCCGGGATTTGCCATGATTTCAAGAATAGATATTTTTTTAAAAAGAAAAGGGATAATAGAAGTAAAGCAGGTGGCAAGATTGATGCAATGACTGACTTCTTCTCATAAAACAGATATATAGGTTGTCCTCAAAATACAAACATTTGTTTAATAACTGTTCAAAGTTACAACACTGAAAACTTACAACTGATTTTTGTACTTAATGATTGTTATAGCATCCCTGCAATTACATGATTAAAATTTGGGCAACAAATTTAGGGATATTAAATTAAACCAGAATAATAATAGTGCTAGTTCATTTCATATGTTGTAAGTGTCTCTCCATCATTTTACACTTCCAAAATAATGAAAATTGGCTTTTTAAATATTACCCAAAAAATTAGATCAAATTGTGAAGTCAGCAGATATTTGAATAGGATATTTTATTATTCTGCAGTTTTAGGAATTCAAATTCCTTTTGCCAAACCAGCTTTCTTTTTTTCAGGTTGTGGGAAAACCATATATATATATATCAGTCCTGAAATGATATTAATTTTTACGTTGTTTATCTTTCACCATAATGTCACTAAGATTTTTAATTACTTGTTTATGTCATGTTAATCTGAAATAAACAGTTTGATATGTTCATTTCTATAAATACATTGGTGAGATAATTATTGTAATACGTTTAAGCAACCATTTTAATGCTTGTTTTTATTATTTTTAGATGCTATGGCTGTAGTGACTGAGATAATGATACAGGAAGATTTTACTGAGGTGTCCACCCAACTTCTCTCTCTTTATACCATGTACAAATATTTGGCAACCAAATCAGAACTTAAGGTAAGCTACTTGCATAATGAAATGTTTGTGGTTATGGCTAAAGAATAATAGGATTCAAATGCCGCATGTCCATACTTTCAAAATATGATTTAAAGCCAAGTTGAAGAGGCTTAACATCCTTAGGGGTAATTTAAGTTTCCAAGCTATGCCAGCTGGTATATGGCCCTTGATTGACCCCATGGTTACTCTTCCTTTTCCCCAAACATCTCCTTGGCTTCAACTGAACTAAAAAAATAGTCTTGTTTTTAAAAAAACTGGGGGGAAAAACATGGATTCACTTTTACAGTTAACTTCCTTCCTAAACTCAAGTGAAGCTCAGTTTCTTTCTGAGATTTTTAAGAAGTCTTGTATTTACACCCACAAGTGAAGGAAGTTGCTGTTATGGCCTGTTGCTGTTTTCGCATTGCTGTCCGCTTTCTCTGTGTGAGAGAGGACATGTATAGCGAGAAAAGGAGGGAAGAAATGAAAAGAAAAGCTTGCAAGTTGAAGTTAGTTCCTCATTACATTGTGGACATGCCATAAATTGTCATAGCAACAGATTAGAAGTGCTTTGACATGAGTTCATTCATGTTTTCTTTTTTGAACTTTTTTGAACTTCAGAGCAGGGATGTCCAACTCTGGCAACTTTAAAACTGTGGAGTTCATCTCCCAGAATTCCCCAGCCAGCCATGCTGAGTTGAAGTTCGTAAGAGTTTTCTTTAGACTCTAGTTTAGAGCTCTGATATTCCCTGAAGGTTACCTACCAGGGGTGAAATCCAGCAGGTTCTGACAGGTTCTGGAGAACTGGTAGCGAAAATTTTGAGCAGTTTGGAGAACCGGCAAATACCACCTCTGGCTGGCCCCAGAGTAGGGTGGGAATGGAGATTTTGCAATATCCTTCCCCAGGAGTGGGGAGGGAATGAGGATTTTGCAGTATCCTTCCCCTGGAGTGGGGTGGGAATGGAGATTTTACAATATCCTTCTCTAGTCACGCCCACCAAGCCACACCCACCAAGCCAAGCCCACAGAACCAGCTGTAAAAAAAATTGGATTTCACCACTGTTACCTACCCAAATATTAACGAGGTCCAAGCCTGCTTAGAGTTCAGCAAGCCCTAAAATGAGACCTAAACAAGGGCCCTGCCACTTGCTGAAGCACATTACAGATAGAGACTTAGTTTAACAAAGCAGAGAATTGGGAGGGATGTATAACAGGGTTATACACATTTTTCAAGCAATATTTCCTGTTTTCAGTGGGAAGAAGAGAAAAATCTTGGAGCATCTCTGTTATTAGTGGGGCTCAAGCAGACTGACACAGTAGGATTTAGTTCTCAGCTATATGGCCTTGCCCTTCTTGGTAAGTTTTAACAAATATTTAATTGAAAAAAAAGTCTGTATTGCTTTATTGATTTGTTTGGAGTAAATGGAATTTCTTCAATTAAATACTAATATGTCTTGATGCAGTACAAAATTAATACTAAATCAAGTTAAGCATATTGACATTCAGTCCACATAATGCAAAATTCACAGGCTGGCCAAAGTTCCCATGAATATTTGAAAAGCCCAAAAGGTAGAATCTATCTTTCTGTCATCCTCTCAGCCACATTCCCACAAAATGTTCATTTGAAAAAGATGATAAATGGTAACAAGTAAGCATTATTCTTTAGTTATATATGAGGAAGTCTGTTGCTATTTTCTAACTAGAGCCCCAAGATTAACAATTTTCTATGTAGCATTATAGATTCCTTTGCTGTAAGTTAACTTACTAGGAATATTAGTAGGTATTGGTTTAAAGCTGAATAGGGCCTGGACCCAACTTGAACTGGGGCCAGACTGCTCAGAGAAAGATATATTTGAAATGTCCTTCTTCTAGCCCAGTTTTCTTAAAAATTCTACTTGTACGTAAGGGGAGATTATTTCTCTAAAATCAATTATTATTTAGTATGTATTAGAAACCATAAATTAACATTCAAAGAAGAGAGAATGTTCCCTCCAGGGTAGTCCATAATCCCTTCAATTTATTCTGGCATTTATCTTTTGATTAAAATTCAGCATAGAGTATCTGAATTCCCTCTATTTCAGTGTCTTTTATATTTTACAATGGCTTTATTGTGTCCATTAAAATTCCCTTGCCCTCACCTATGAATAGTTGTTAATTGGCCTACTACCTTCAGGTGAGAGAGAGGCTTTATCAAAAAGCGTTAGATAGTTACCCTTTTGCATACATTGGTTTCTCAGCTGTGATAAGAGCGAAGATGACACATCAGGATTAGATGCTGATCCTGATTTTACCTTATGGTACAGTTTAAAAAGTGCCAGTAGAGATCAAAATTGTAAACCAATTAGCACCACACTTTTATCCCACTTCAGCTATCCTTTTAAAAATCTGTCTTTGATTAGCATTTTCAAATCTTTAAAATACATCCCTGAACAGTTTAAAAAGGGATTGGCTTTAGCAAATCACTTTACTTCTGTAGACAAAAGATTCACCTGAACATTCTGAAGGTCAGAAGCTATTTTCTGTTGTGCTTGTATGCATTTTGCAATTATACCAGATCTAATGGAATATATTTGTATAAAGAATAAAAGATGCTCATTTATTTATGAAATTTATATGTTGCCCGTTTCACTGGCAAGCAACATTCTCGTGCATGCAGGGACCCCTTTTTTAGTTATATTGGTGATTAGAGGTAGAGACCCTATGAGAGGTGTATGCAACGGAATTTCATTTTAATGTATGCCAATTAGTGTACGTTCAAAGTGACAATAAAGTTATTCTAAGTCTAAGGCTGGTTTATAATAGTACTGTATGTTTTAATTTTTCCAATGTTTGTAATTGTTTTTACTTTATTTTAAATCTGTTTACCAGATTTAAAACTCACTAGTTGAGATGGGAACTGTATCAATCAGTCAAATAAATAAATAAGAGTATAGAACTTAATCTCAACTAGGCCAAGAAATACTTATTGAAACCAGACACTCTTTTCCGAGAAGAATTATACAGATGTTGCTTCAACATTGTTTAAAGGCCCTTTTGGTGAATTGTAGAGAACTATAAAAGCAAAGGGAGACACTGAAAAGCATTCTGAATGCATTTCTTAACATCCCTCTGGGAATTTTGTACAGCAGGGGTCCCCAACCCCCGAGCTGCGGATTGGTACCAATACATAGCCCATTGGGAAACAGCGGTTTGCAAATGGCGTGTGAGTGCACAAAGCTTCATTTGTGCATGCTCAGGATCTAGGTTGCATGCAAAAGCATACCCTCCCACTCCTCCCCACCACTGCTGCCACTGTCACTGCCGCCACTGCCAGTCTAAAAGGTTGGGGATGGCTGATATACAGTACCTGCTTTCTGCTTTGAATCTAACTGCAATAATAGAGGAGGAGATTTTGTCTTCTACATAGAAGAAGGTGTGAAACTATTCCTTTCCATATCCTATAATCTCAGTTAATTTTTTCTCCCAACTCACTAGAACTCCATATTCATTTTTTAAAGAAAATGCTGACCTACTTTCTAGTATCATATTCATCACCACATCTCTTTGATCCCACGCATTAGCTGTGTTTTCTGGTTTAAGCAATGGAGTAAACGGCTATTAAATCACAGGTAAAGTGGAGCTACAGAAAGGATTGCGAGCTGTTTACCACCTAATGCCACTCATGTGGACCCCGGGATATCTGAACAGAGCCTTGAAAGTAATGGAGGATGTGGCCTTGCTTCCTGAAGATGTGAAACTTTGCCAGGAAGCAGTAAGTGAAAACTCATTTAACCAAATGTGGCCTGATCTATTTGGGACTCAGCAGCCGGGTTGCTACTATTCTTGGCATTGTTTTATATAGGTTGAATATGCATTGAAGTATTTCTTGAAAACTACTGTATCAACTGGGACTAAGAGTTTCATACAACCTTGCGGGGACGGCGGGGTGAAAGTGCTCCCTCTGCTTTTTCTACTTTTCAATTGTTCGTTTAAACTCTGTTTTAATTCTGTTTATTAATTGTTTTTAACTATGGCTTTTATATAATTTTATTTATTTATTATTTGTAAATCGTCAGAGTCCTGTAAGAATGATGGGTGGTATAGAAAATTGATTGATAAATAAGTAAATAAATCTTCCCCTTAGAAAAAAATGTTTTCCAGAAAGCCCAGACAAATGCTTTCTTCACCCTTACCTCATTGCTGATTCTGCTTCTGGCAGTTATTGATAATGCAGCTAATTTTCCTATTCCTTGAATCTAGTAACTCTTCCCACAGTGCTGAGGAATACCAACTTCTGGAAAACACATTCAAAAACTAGTAATACAGAGTCGCTCAAATTTCCATTCAGACTTTCAGGCTTTTTGTTTGCCTGTTATCAAATAAAGGGTACAGCTACATGATTCTGTTGAAAACCATAGGGAACATGATACGAAGCCTTTTCTTTCCAAAACAGGAAGTCAGATAGAAATTATATAACATAATACCAGTGGTGGGTTCCTCCCGGTTCGGCCCGGTTCCACCGAGCCAGTAGCAGTGATGATATGATGTCACCGAACCGGTTCTGCCCCACCCCCACCCATCCCCGTATTATTCTTACCTTTTATTTGGCCCCACCTCCAATCTATTGCTGCCTCCTGAGTCCCAGATGATGGCTAGAGGGAAAAAAAACTGTTTAAACTCTTGCCGCGGGCTTCAAAGGGCTGCCCTACAGCTGATCAGTGTTAAAAGAAAACAAATGAGTAGATCGGTATCTGCAAAAATAAATGGGTAGATCGGTACAGCTCTGCAAGCAGTTAAAAACCTGGTAGACCAGTACCTCTGCTAAATCCTAAATAATTGTCACATGGCCATCAAGCCACGCCCACAAAATAAGCCACGCCCACAGAACCGGTAGTAAAAACTGTTAGAACCCACCCCTGCATAATACGTTGTAATCTCTTCTTGTAGTTGTTACAAACATTCAAACTATTATCAGCAAAGAGTATCTGTGACTTACTTGCAGTCAATAATAAAATCAATAGTACCGTATTTATCGGCGTATAACGCGCACTGGCGTATAACACGCACCTTAATTTTAAGAGGGAAGTTTCAGGAAAAAAAAGTAAATTTTAAATAAAGAACTTTGAAGCATAACAAAGGTAGTTCAAAACTTTTTTAATTAATATTTAAACACAGTCACAATGCACTGCACACAACTGGCTCACCCACAATGTAAAAGCAGCTGTGCTAGACCCAAAATGGCCCCTGCAACAAGCAGGAACCTCACACAGCCACAAAAAGCCAAAAAAACCAACTTTCACACTTTACACACACAAAATTCCACATACAGCTTTGTGAGATTTTGTGTGTTTGTGTAGTTAGAGTGAAACACTACAGAAACACACTAAATCTCAGAAAGCTGCACAAATATTATGTTATTTTTATTTATTTTTATTTTATATAAAAGCAGCTAAATTTAAAACTTCCTAAACTTTAAATGTCTAAGTCTAAAAAAAGAACAACTAAAAAAAACCCCAATTAACTATTTTTTTTAAAGCTCCCAAAGGGGAAAAAAACTTACCCAACAGAACAGGGGTCTCCAATCTTGGCAACTTTAAGACTTGTGGACTTCAACTCCCAGAATTCCTAAGTCAAGACAGGCAGGCAGAAAGAGCTGCTCACCGATGAGCTTGATTGTAGCCAGGGATATTCAGTTGATTGCTGATGCATGGATTGCGATCGTCATGCAATCAGCAACTAAGGTAAGGAAGCCGGAGGCTGGGAGAGGGGCGGGGGAGAGAAAAAGAAACTTTTTTTTCTTTTACATGGCTCTGGCGATCCTGATCCTGAGTTGCCTGATTAGCAGGCAATTCAGCTGGGATGTCACAGCTTGGCTGCTCAGAGCCATTTAAAAGGGAAAAAAGCCTCTGATGATCGCGGGGCTCAACTGGGCATGGGGGGCGGGGGCAGGGATTTTTGCTACCGGTTCTCCGAACTGCCCGCCACCATCGCTACCTACTCTCCCGAGCCGGTCCAAACCGGGAGCATTTCACCCTGCCCAAGACCCCAACATACCCCAGGCTTTCTCCGACAGTGTCTCAGATGCTGTAAACTCGCCATTCGTTCTTTTTACAGTATTTTTTAATACATATCGGCGTATAACGCGCACATGCGATTTCCACATTATTTTCAAGATGAAAAAGTGCGCGTTATACGCCGATAAATACGGTAATTTCAGAAAGGCCTGGTCTCCTTCATTCAACCAACATACAAACACTGAAAACCCAACTTAAAAATTCTTAATATTTTCAGTCTTTTAAAACTATTTTGGTCTTTAAATATTTGTTATATATTGTTGTTTTATATTTTCAGTTTACAATACATGCTTTCCATAAAGTTAAACCCTATTCTGCAGTTAAAACCATAGTTTTGGAAAAAACAAAAACAAAAAATTAAGATATTACATCCTATTTTCAATCTACTGTTCAAATTTAATTCCTAACTTTTGTTTGGCTTTTAATTTTAATGTTCTCAAAATGTTAAGGAAGATGCATAAACTGTGAAAAGATATCCGCACATATGACACTTTTTTATGTTATTTTAAGCCATCCACGACATTTTTGCTCTTTTGCTGCAAAGGTTGATGTTCTAGGAGACATTTTGCACCCAGCACCTGAACCCGAGGTTTCTCCAGAAGACCCCAAGGATTCAGAAGAAGCACTAAAACAAACGCCACCAGAAGAAAACGAGGTGCTTCGACTGCCTGAATATCTAAACCGTTTTAAGGTATGCAATTTCCTTCCACTTCTGGTTTTTTTCCCCTCCTGAGGAAATAAGACTTCATTGCTACCCCACTAGTAATGGCACCAGGTTCTTGGGTATTGATGCTAAGCTACTTTCTTACTGTTTCAGACAGGAATTTGCCTGGAGAAAATCATGTTCAGTGTCATTTTTCTACTACCTGGTTGCTGAGAATCTGTTTTTACTTTTCATATACCTGCCTTAATAAGTGAAACGCCTAATAATTAAAATGAAATGTCACTCCTAACCTCATGTCCTTTGCATCATATATCTGCTGGAAAGTTTTCCCGTAATTCTCATTTCATTATGGGATATAGAAAATGTGTATCACAGGATCATATTTATTCTTTTTAGACCCTCATCATCTCAAAATGCTTTAGATTTATTAGTTTCCCTCCTTCAGAAGGCTTTAGATTTATTAGCTTCCTTCACTTTGACTAGTTATTGAATGACGTCTTTATGTAAGTGATTACATAGAGCTGATATACCTTAATGGTTAGAATGTTGGACTACACCTGTTAGATAAAGACCCAAGTTGAAGTTCACTGTTTGTTGAAGGATTTTAAAATGTCATCTCAAATCTAATTTCCTCATACAGTAGTTTCTGTATGGTTTCTCCTAGGTATACTATCACCTCCTAAGAAAAAGCTAGATATACTGTACTCTATACTGTATATCTTTTAAGGCAGAGGTGTCAAACTCAATCTGATTGAGGGCCGCATCAGGGTTGTGTGCCAAGGGGAGCGTGCCTGTGGGGTGGGGGGGGCATGGGCAGCTCAACCTCACTCGTTGAGGCTCTGTTTTCAGCCACAACGACCTCATGCAGCCTTCTGCCAGCTAAAACGGAGCCCTGGCGGGCCACACATGGCCTCCCCAAGTTCTGTTTTTGCTGGCAGAGGGCTGCAGGAGGCCATCGCGGCCGAAAATGGAGCCTGGGAGGGCCACACACAGCTCTCCCGATCTCCATTTTTGCTGGCAGGCATCACGGGCCGGTTCTTCATTGTTTCTAGGGTGGCCCTGCGGGCTCGATCTAAACACACCACAGGCCGAATCTAGCCCACTGGCCTTGAGTTTGACATCCCCGGGCTCAATTGAAGTCTAAATAATCAGAAGTCACCAGGATTGAGAAAGGATTATAAAATATTGAATGTTTTATCAGTAACCTAAAATATCTGTCAAGTGTTTGACAGTCATCTTGCCTGTCTCACCATTAGGACTCATGAGCCCTGGTGGCACAGTGGTTAGAATGCAGTATTGCAGACTAACTTTGCCCATAGCCTGGAGTTTGATCCTGATGTGGGCTTCAGGTTGACTCAGCTTTCTATCTGTCCGAGGCCAGTAAAATTAGAGCCCAGATTGTTGGGGCAATATGCTGACATTGTAAACTGCTCAGAGTGTGCTGTAGAGCACTATGGAGCAGTAAGTCTAAGATCTACTGCTGTTGCTAACCATTAGGGCATTAAATTAAACTAAAAGGGTAAGGATGGCAAAAGTCCAAGACCTAATATGCATCCAAAGATTAGGACAAAGAAAGCAGAACACAAAGGAGAAGAGGAGACTAGGATGAGTTTTGCACAATACCAAGTGTCAATAGATCAGAATGCTGCTATTTCTGCACTAATACATGGCGATTGTGAAGGAAATAGGGAGAACAAGAGATCCTAATTCAGGAAAACAAAGACAAATATAAAGTGATTGGTATCACTGAAACATATTGGGATGATAGTCATGATTGGCACATAGCCATGGCAGTCTGTAGTTTATTCAAAAGGAACAGACCTTCAAAAGGAAGGATGGACGGATGCTACATGGTACATAAAATAAAAATGTACTTGAACAGAAATTCAGCAGAGCATGTTGAAAGTATCTGGGAATAATAATGAGAGATAAAGAGAAAATGACGCCACTTTGGGAGTTTTGTATAGACAACCAGGGCAAGCAGAAAAAATAAATGACGCCTTTCTACATCTGGTAACCAGTTTTCAAAGATGTATGCAGTAACGATGATGCTTAGTTTTCAGTTATTTTGATCATCTGATGGGAATCTAACTTTGCCAAGAGTTAGAGGCCCAAATTATTCTTGCTCTCTCTTACTGGGAGCTTCATTGGTCAGAAGGTGGAAAATACAACTGGGAAATTCTACAAAATGGTATATTTCAGGGGCAGTCTCAAACAGTCCCCACAAGAAAGAAAAACAGGAATGATCTAAAGAGGCCAACATGAATACATGTAGAGTTCTCTAAAACATTAAAGGAAAAAGAGGGGATGGAAGGAGGGGGACATACCTGAAGAAGACTGCAAGATGGTCTTCTAAAATTGTAGGAACTCTGTTAGAATAGCTAAATTTCAGAATGAGCCAAAGCTTGCAGGAGATATAAAAATAACAAGTGTTCTTGAGTATGCGGAACTACTGACTCCTGTTTTTGTGACTGTCTTCCATTAGAAGAGGAATGGTCAGCATTATGCCACCAGAAGTATGGGGAAACTGCAGTATAAAATAGGCAAAAGAGAAATAAACTAAATTTAACCAGGGCCAGATAGATTACTGAAGATACTAAGCAGAGGTCATTTCAGAGTCATTTTACTAATATTTGAGAACACTTGGAGTAAAATTTCGGAGGTTGGGAGGAGAGCAAATGTCATCCTCATCTTCCAAAAGAGAAACTATAAACTACCAGCTGCTGAATCAATGAGAGTTTAGTACCAGTTATATTTTGGTGATTCAACTATTCGTTTGAATTCCTGGCAGAATTAAAGGTTCATGTATTAAGTGAATGATAGAAAATGATTAATAATATAGTTGTACAGAGAATTAAGAGTCATTTATTCAGTAGGCTGTGGTCTAAGAAATTTAGAAGACTGGTTTACTATGCGTCTTATTTGACCATATTAGTTTAGTTGGTTATTAGTTTAGTTTATTGATTAGCCCATAATCCATATTAAAATACAGAGTCTAAACAAAATGATTAATAAAATTCTATCAAAACAATTTAAAATGAAATTGAAGTAAAATACAATAATTTAATATATAGATAAGTAACATAAGATAAAACTATATTTCAGTATCACCCCTAAAATCTACTGACTTATTATTAAATATTATTCTTATTAAAAACCAATGCCAGCTAATCCTTTGGTTTATAAATTATATTAATTCATTTACTGTAAGTATCTTTATTGGGGAAAAAAACCACACATAGAATTTTTAAATTGCTGGTGTTCAAATTTTCTGAGATAGTTTTCTTCTCGTTCTCTGAGGTGTTTCTCTTTTAAGGCAATTAAGTTGCCTTCTGAAGTCAAGCTGTCCTATAAAAATATCCCTAATCACAAATGACCCCGCATCTTAAAGCACATAAGCGGATTTTTTTTTTATGATTCATCACTGCAGTGGGTTGCAAGAAATACTGCACCATCTATTTGATGATGGAATGTCCTGTCTGGCCTAGGTCCCTCCTTTCAACGCACTCTTGTGTACCCCAGAGGCAGGATGAAAGCATTTTCAACAGCTGCCTACACAGAGCTGAGCATAACTTCAAAAACACCTTTAGAGAAAGGCCATATAGGAATCTACCGCACAATAGCATAAAGAAGCTGGGATCTCTTCATTATACAATTAATACTTTAATTATTCCCATCTGTTAGCTGTAAGGTTGGCTGAAGCAACTTGGCATAAGTCTTTGCCTCAGCAGGGTGCCTACAGGGTGGGACCAGAGAACTCTAAAACATTGGGATGGCTGGCAAGCCATTTGTCAATTTTAGGGCAATGAGCTTTCGTTAAGCTTTATTAATGCTTTTAGTAGCTCAGCCTACTCCAGCACTTAGCCAAACTAAAAACTAATAAATTTTGTCTCTGCTTTGTATTACTAAATAATATATTTTGTTTTTACAAAAAAAAAAAACCCCTAACTTATATATGTCAGTGTTTATTTATTTATTGGATTTATAGGGCTGCCCAATTCAAATAATATGAATCTGGGAGGGTAGTTTACAGCAAAAAAACAACAACAAAGACTACACAAACACAAATAACAACAATACCCCACCATGTAATGCTAAAAAGCCTATCCAATATCTGAAATATAAACCATTTGTTTAGTTTTTCCTTTTGGGAAAGGCTGAATGCTCATTTATTGTGGCCAGGGCAATTTTCCAAGAATAAATGTGAATCAGCCGTAATAGGCCAGTTATAAAATGTGAAATTCCAGTTCCAAAGGAAGGAAAGATTATATGGGCCAGACCAGTCTATTGTTGAAGTAGTGAAACTGATTAACTGTTTCTTTTTCTTTCTCTCTCTTATGCCAATCATGACAGGAGCTGAATTCTAAACTCCACTCCCTTGGCAAGGTGGAATCTAGGAAGCTGCTAACCCTAACTACTCAACTTGTTGAGGAGAAACTACCAGCATCTGAAGAAGAAGACATTACAAAATACAAAGAGAAACTTGAGGAGTGGGAGAAAGAACGAACGATGCTGATTGAAAGGGAGCAAGAAATGAAAGCAAAAGCTAAGGAAATGATGGAAATTAAAAAAAAAGCAAGCGCAGCCACATGATGCTTTTGCTGGCAGACTTCCATTATGCCTCAGATTGTCTTGGCAATAAACAGTCTCATCCTGTCTTGTACCTTATACAGACTTGGCTTGTCTACACATTAAATCTTTACATGATCCAAGCTATATGTATCCTTTCTCCAAAATCTATTATTATTACTGTTCTTCTGAAAGTATACATTACCTCTGTTGTGTGTGAAAACAAAGTTTGTGATTTAATCAAATTGTTCCTTTCTGAAATGTTGAGGTGAGATAATACGTTCAGAAGGACCATAGGCATCGTCAGCATATGCTATTTTTCATGATAGTTACTGACAAGAATTGCTGGTAGCTTAGAAATCAAAGAAAACAATAAATAAATGTAATTTGAATGTGTACATATATTCATGCATATTCTGTTATTTCTAGATCAAAGCACAGTTTCCCAACTTTCCAACTTGGGAGTTAAAGAGTAGTTTAGAGAATCAGAAATAATCTATTATGCCATGATCTGTGAATATTAATCTGGATCAGCCTTCTCAACCCTTGAAATAGGTCAGATTGCAACTCCTATTACTAACGAATATGAGAGAAAGAGGCTGACCTGGACTCCAGCTAGGAGTACACCATACACCTTTAAAATAAAACATAGTAAAATCTCAGTAAAATAAATCTGTTCATTTTGTTATGTCAATCTTCTTGCCAAAGTTGATGTTTAAACATAAAACTAAAAACGCCATCAGGAGCTAATACACCTGGAAGAATGCAATAAATTTAGTTCCTGATTGCTGATTAATTGATTTGTTTGTTTTTAGTTAGCATTTTGTATTTTATTTTTATATCTTTGTTTACTGGTTTATTGTATGCCATACAGTTCCTCGTTGTTCAAATTGGGCAGCCATTTATAAACTTTAAGTATACAGGTAGACCTCTACTTACGACCACAATTGAGTCCAAAATTTCTGTTGCTAAGTGAGACATTTCTTAAGTGAGTTTTCCTCCATTTTATGACTTTTCTTGCCACAGTTGTTAAGAGAACTTCTGCAGGTCTTAAGTTAGTAACACAGTTGTTAAGTGAATCTAGCTTCCTCATTGATTTTGCTTGTCAGGAGGTTGCAAAAGGGGATCACATGACCTTAGGACATTGCAGCCATCATAGATATGAGTCAGTTTTCATGGGATGCTGAAATGGTCATGTGAAAAACGATCATAAGTCACTTTTTCAGTGCCATTGTAACTTTGAACGGTCACTTAATGAACTGTCGTAAGTCAACATAAGCCAAGTCAGTGAAGAAGCCAACAGTAAGTCAGAGGTTGTGACCATGTGAGGTCTTTGCTTATCATCCCACATGGTCCTTTCCTAATGACAGCAATAAAACCATCGGAACTTATTTGATGATTACAATTTTATAGTTCCCATTTCACTTATACAGCAACTTTGAGTGGTTTACGATATGATTAAAAAATAAAAAAGTACTACAGGACAATTAAAATTAGAAGAGTTAAATAAAAAAGTTAAAAATCAAGACAGTTGGGGGTGGGGGGGCTGGAAGTGGGAATCTTCTCTATCAAGTCAGATGTCCCCAATGTAACAAGCCCCTGTCAGTGACCCAAACCAAGTGGCAGAGCCAAGTTTTCAGGAGTTTCGTGTGTGTTTGTGTGTAGACTTCATCTCCAACAGGAGACTATTCCCGAGGGTGGGGCCCACACCAGAAAAGGAATTGCCATCACTAAGCACTAACTCATCTGATGTTGCACTTTATGTCCTTGGTACTTAGCAATGGCAATTCCAGTTCCAATTGTCATTGTTAACCTAAAACTACCTGCATACATTATGTTACATTATGCAGGGGTGTCCAACTCTATTTCTTTGAGAGCCGCATCAGGATCTCGGAGAGCCAGGGTGGGCATGGTTAGCTTGACATCACTCATGTCAGGGATGCCTGTGGTGGCCCGAGCTCTCTGTCAGCAAAAATGGGCTCCTGAGCTCCATTTTTGGATGCGATGGCTTCCTGCAACCCTCTGCCAGCGAAAATGACTAGCACTGTGGGCCAGTCCTTTGCTGTTTCCAGGGTGGCCCTGTGGGCCAAATCTAAGCACTTGGCAGGCTGCATCCGTCCCACAGGCCTTGAGTTTGACACCCCTGTTCTAGAGCAAGAAGGCCACTAAGAAGGTACCTGTTACTTTCTAGAAATGATATTGCATTAGATATTATATGTTAAGAGCAGCTAGGACAGGATCATTTGGGATCCTGTTGCATCAGATACTGAGGTCTAACTGGCTTAGGCCCAGGGTATCTGCAGGATCATCTCCTGCTTTCCTCCCACCGTCCAGTGCGCTCTCACAGAGCGGGCCTCCTCAGGGTGCTGTCAGCCAGACAATGTCGGCTGGCGGCCCACAGGGGGAGAGCATTCTCTGTGGGAGCGCCGATCCTCTGGAATGGGTTGCCCACCGGCCTCAGGACAGCCCCGGACCTCCTCTCCTTCCGCCGCGAATTGAAGACGTGGCTTTTTCACCAAATGGGCTGAATCCGTAGGGGTGATTTTCAAATTTTAATAATTTTTAATTGAATTTAATTTAACTTTAAACTGATTTTAAATTGTTTATGTAATTCTTTGTTTTGTTTTGTAAGCCGCCCTGAGTCCTACGGGAGAAGGACAGCATATAAATTACATAAATAAATAAATAAAAATAAATAACTTATACTGATTTATAGACTGAACCATAGCAACTACTAATGGGAATTGCTCTCCATCACTCTCGTTTGTTCCAACTTTATCATTTATTGCAGTTATGGTTTCTATCTTTTCTGTTTTTCAGAGTCCTATTTTCTATAGAACCAGCCAATTTGCCTTTGCTGTCTTTTATTCAGAGAATGTCACAAATTAGCTGCTTCAGCCCCTCCAAACTTGCTTTCCTCATTCCAGATTCTCTAGAAATCTCTATCAAATTCTTCATTTGATTTTTCCTTTTTCCCTCCATTTCCTGTCTTAGTCAAATGATTAGACAAGCATGCTAAAAAGTAGCCTTTAATGTAGTGAAAGAGAACCAGTTTAGGGTAATAGTAAAGGCAGCAGGCTAGAAACCAGGAGACTGAGTTCTAGTTCCACCTTCAGCACAAAGCCAGCTGAGTATTCCTCAATAGGTCACTCTCTCAGCCCCAGGAAGGAGGCGTTGGCAAGAAACCATGTCTGAAAATCTTGCCAAGAAAACCGCAAGATCTAATCTAGGAGTCACCAAGAATCAACACTGACTGGAAGGTGTGTGTGTACCGAATACGTCTCTGCATTTTTGGAAATGATATCCTCCATAAACTGAGAATTCAATTTGACATCTGTCTTGCTTATAACTGAGTGAGAATTCGATTGTGCCGCATCATTTGTTAACCAAATGACTAAAAGAAAATGTTACCTGCAAGATTTATGACCTGTGACCTTATGATCAGTGATCACTTCATTTGGTCTTCAAGAGGATTTCCAGCATTTATGAGCATAAATGCTACCATAATTGCCATAAAACCCTAAATTCTGTCAGCAGAGTTCTAATTGCATTTCAGATTAGCTAATCTTGACTCTCAATTGTTAAAGACTAGTGCATTTATTTTTCATGTCAGGTTAATAAGCAGAACTGTCAATAAGATTAGCCATTGTTGCACTGCTGACCTTAGCACCACTTATAGTACCATATTCCAGAATATAATTCCTGTTTCAATTTTACATGTATAAATGGTTTCATGTTTATGCAGTATTTTATGATCTAAAATCTATATTGGAAATAAATGTATTGTTTGGCAGTTCGAATCTCACCAGGCTCAAGATTGACTCAGCCTTCTATCCTTCCGAGGTCTGTAAAATGAGAACCCAGATTGTTGGGGGCAATATGTTGATTGTAAACTGCTTAGAGTGAGCTGTAAAGCACTGTGAAGTGGTATATAAGTCTAAGTGCTATTGCTATTGGTTGTTATGGTATGTGCAGTCCAATGAGTTAACTCCCAGATAAATGGGTATAGGATTGCCATTTGAATTTATCAATTCTTGGTTATCAATTTTTTAAAATAATGTAAGCATCTCTTTTTAAAGAGATGTAATTTTTTCATTCCTGAATTGCAGGTACATAGAGCACATCATAAAATGAATGTCTTATGTGGGCAATGTATCCCTGTACTTACTGTACTTTGCTTATAATACAGGGCTGTTTTAAAAAGTAGCATGAAAGCACATCTTCATACACACACACACACACACACACACACACACACACGTAAAGATATGCTTTCATGCTACTTTTTAAAAGAGTCCTGTATTATAAGCAAAGTCTTAAACCAAAGTCTTTTGCTTTGACTTTGTCTAGTTACACATTCAGAAAATGTAAGATCATTTGCATATTTAATTTGATATGCCGATTGCCAATTCAAATTCACAGTATACTTAAATACTTCAATGAATAGGAAAGCATATACACTTTCAGTCCATTAAAGAAATCCAGTGTCCATATTTAAAGGAAGGAAAATAGTGATTTCCTTTGGTCTCAGATCACTGTTAGTGCTTGGCTGTCCCAGAATCAGGATAATATCACTACAACTGGTAATTAAAAATTAATAAACCTATTCATAGAGAATACAACAATCTCTCATCTAGTCATAGCTGAGTAGAAATGAATAGTGTATATTGAATTTGCTCTCTTAAATGTGCAAAATTATTAGTCTTTGTCCTCTGAATTGCTGCCCAAGATTACACGACTAATGTCTCTTCATGTTTGAGCATCCTTTTCTTTAGCTCCTAATTTCAAGAAACCTGAGTCAAAGATGTAACACCAGTGGGGTTGTTAAAATATTGGATTTGTTGGATATAGTATAAAACACTGGAATGTTGGAGACCAACATTCAAGCAATCCTCAGTCATGAACTTTTAGAGTTAGAGTCTCTCATCCTCTCAGAGGTTTCATAGGTTTCTCATGGATCAAAATGAAAAGACAACCTCCCTGCTGATTACCTTAGTCTCCAAGAAATAAGGCAGAATATAAATTTAATATATTTACATTAAACTAAGTTTAGTCAATCAAAAAACTTCCTTATGTGATAGGATATTCTATTTACAAGGAGGCTTAAGCAGAAGTGACTGTTTGGCCAGAAGACACATGTGGCCTTTCAGACCTTCTTTAAAAAGTCTTTGAATTGAGATTGAACATACAATGTCAAGTACTGTTTTTGGAACCTAAGCGGATTTAGGACCAAATATCCCATTTTCCTGACAACATATTGAAAGGCTGTGTTGGCAAGCAAGCTGTTTAATTGAATAAATAATTGTTCATTAATTTTTGTATAATTTCCCCAGTGCTTCTGTAGATTCTGCCAGAGTGAATACAAATTGTTAATATATTATTGGTGGAATCTTTCGAGTCATATTGGGGTTTCTCATTATTAAAGTATTCAATTTTTTAGTAGGTCAAGTTGGTGAGAATTGATAATACCGCTTCAGTATGACCCTAAATTACAGTGGTTTAACTCTACCTTCAAAGCAAGGTAAGTACTGAGTTTTTACTTAGCCAACCTGGACAATAGAAAGAGGTGCTGAAAAGTTGTAGTTTGGCAAACACTGGACAGCAGGTGAAACGGATTAGAGCTCCAAAATTAATACTTCACAAGCACCCCATTGAAATAGAAAAGTCTGTTTGTGAAAATGATATAATTATATAGTTTTTACTTATTCTAGACAGTTCCATTGACCAGAACATTTACTATAAATGTGTGTGTGTGTGTATAAAAAGGGAATTGCATTGTGATTTTTTAGATAGAAATTGCATCTTTAATATACAAATAAAAGAAAACCCAACAACACCTGAACTATTTTAATTTTTTATTGTGGAACTGAGCTTATTTCCTTTACATCAAATATCCTCAATGGTAGAGGGGATATTGCACACAAATATCATAAAAGCACTACATATTACTTTCACTGGAAACTAATTTTCTACTTTAGATATGACTTGATAGGATAGAGGTGATGAAGGATTATAAGACATAAAACCATACACAGCTGCAGACTGACACAAACAAGACCGTTCAGAACAAGAGAGAGGAGTGAGGTGCTTCTCAGCCACGACAAGACTTTCTCTCCATGGTTTGGAAGAATCAAATGGCTGCAGGCCATCATGTGAAAGCATCCTGGACTTTTAGAACTGTGCTTTTTCTGGTGTGATTACAGCCCAGTCTTGTATGAATAGAACAGTCGCTCTGGGCAACTAGAGCTCCTAAACTAATTTAGTGCAGAGAAACAATTCCCCCCCAAATGTTCAAGGTTTTGATGCTGCTTTCTTATTTTGTTATTTTTATAAGATCACAACAAATATTTTTGTTTCTTAAAAAATGAAGCAAACATCCTTAACAAGGCAAGCAATGCACTTTCCAAATGTATATAAACAATTAGACCAATTTTTGTGTTTTCTTCTACTGTCAAGGAGCACTTACAATTTTTTGGTAAGTTTAAATATAACATTTCCCCATTACTAATATTTCTAGACTACAAAAAAATTCTATTATATGTGAGCTAGAACTTACATATGGAGAAAAGGGCTATGGCCATTGCCCCACTAGTGAGGGTCTTAAGCATGTTTTCATAGCATCATCCACTTATCATTGAAGTGATGTAAAATCTGTCCTCATTATTGTTAATCATGGCACGTCAATGTTGGGATGATTCTAGAAGTTGCTTGCTAGTGGAGAAATGACCCATGATGTAGGAAATGCAGAATTAACTCCTTGAAGCTAAGCCAGGAGTTCTTGGAATGTTTTCCTTAACTAACAGCTTCTTAGTTCTGTGTTGCAAGGTTCCTAAACTGCTTTAATCTATTGAAGACAGCTAAATATATTTGTATACACATTTGGATTCATTCACTACTGTATGTGAAGTTAAACACAAATCATGAAGAATGAAAGATTAATTAAAAACGTAGTTGCAGAAATTAGACCCACCATAGGAAAATGTAAAGGCATGCAAAAGATCTGTTTTAAGTTTGAATGTGACCTCAACTAAACTGCTGTCACTGAATTTTATTCAGTGGGAAAGTACTATCATAACAGCACAATGAGGGGAATGTTACCAATGGTAAAATTTTCTGGAATGCATACAGCACTCTACTCTTGTTTCATTAATTAATATTGAATTATTAATTTAATTAATATTGAACCATGCTTCTAGTAATCTGTGCTGAGTAACAGAGCACAATATCGGTATTCATGGTACTTCAGATTGACTGTCACTATACTAACTATGTAGGGCAGTGACTAACACAACTATTAGTTCCATTTAGTTTAGTCTAGAGGAGCTTCCTAAAACAACAGTAACAGAAATCCAGAATTGAGTGCCATTCAAATTCAGTCCTGATTGCCATTCAAAACCCTATGCCTGCTTGTTCAAAAACAATTGTTTATGAACTGTATAGCCTACTACTATAGCTTTATTCAGAAACTTAAAAAAGAAAATATAGGCTTGGATCTAAAAGGCACATCAACTCATATGCAGGGCAAATGCCAATGTCATGCCCACTACATGTCCCTGTACTTTCAGAAGTATTCCTGAAATTTTCCTCAACTCTCAGGAGCAAGTTGTCAGAAAACAGAACATTAAAAAGAGTTCTAATGCTAGAATCAATGATGCAAAATGAGATCTTTGAGAGGTGATGCAAAATGAGACCTTTGAGCAAAGCTACACTAACTGGTACTTCCACCCCAAAAAACCCAAGAGTTATTGGACTATAAATTCTCAAACTTTGCAATTAGCATGCTGGCTGACAATGCTGGAAGTTGTAATCCACTGATTTGGACACCAGTAAGATAGGGAAGGCTGTCATAAGAGAATATATGTTCCCATAAAAATCAAGATTTGCCAAATTAAAGATTAGAGTTAGGTCCTTCAACCATTTGGAAGCTTAAAGTAAAAGGGAAAATTTACACAAAGAAAAATCCCAATCCAACTACATTTCTGAGTCTATACTAAAATGATTACAAGAGGATCAATAATGGGCTTAAAGTGTGAAGGAGTATCAAGGCCAAATTTGAACTCCATTAAGGTGGTAATCCTATATATGTTTATTGAGAATAAGTCCTACTGCACACAACAAAGTTGATTTCTGATACGGCATACATAATTATCTGGCATGCTGATTTCAGACAATTGCTTCAACAGGCCTATTGATGTACACATCTGCTATGTTTTCACTTTTTGGAGACAGCAAATTAATTTCCCTTTTGCATTTAAATATATATATAATATTGTTTATTGAGTATAAACTAAAAATAATCCTCATAGAAGTTCAGTTCAAAACAGACTGATAACCTCTATGATCTAGTCAGTTTTTTGTCTTATTGTTAACATTTTCTTTTCTTTTTCTTTTTTCTTTGGCAAGAAGAAAATTAAACATATTCCTGCTGGGTAAATCCTTTAAATTTTGCTTAAAAACCGCAAATTGGAGGGAGGGGGTTCATAAAATTAATTCATCTTGAAGCAAGAGATTTTGATGCAGGTTGCTCAAATGGATGGGACTGAAGGCCTAGGTCAAGCCCGGGCATTGTGAAGAAGGGGGACAAGAAAAAGGTGGGAAGTGGCTGCTCTCGCCGTCCTTCGAAGTGGAGGAGTGCAAAGGATGTGTGGAGATGTCTACTTCAAATCAGAACTCTCAAAACACAAATATTCCACAGGAAGAAAGCTCTGAGTTACCTGCTACCAGACAAGGATATGTTCTGCCTGAAGGGAAAATCATGCCAAATACCATTTTTTGTGGGTGGAATAGATATAAGGATGGATGAGACAGAAATTTGGAGCTTTTTTACACAATATGGCACAGTTAAAGAAGTGAAAATAATCACTGACAGAACTGGTGTATCTAAAGGATATGGATTTGTATCATTTTTGGACAACGTAGATGTATAGAAAATAGTAGAATCACAAATAAACTTTCATGGAAAGAAGGTCAAATTGGGACCTGCAATAAGGAAACACCCAAACTTATGTGCCTATCATATGCCACCCAGGCCAATGCTTATTAATTCCCCTAGACCTCAGTTCCATAGTGTTTGGAGTAAACAGGAAACATATATGCAGTCTCCAGCTGTGATGAGTCCTGTCACACAATATGTTCAGGCCTATCCTTAAAAAAAAGAACAGAGCACATCATTTTGGAAGAAGCAGAGCTGTTCTTAAAACTGCTTGACTCAACAATATAGAAAACCTGAAATATTCATGTTTGTCATTTGTAAAGGTAGAAAAACTTGCAATTTAATATTGGTGACAAAACATACTTGACAATTATGTAGCCCTACTGGCAAAAGTTATTTGAAATTGGAGTTCATTTGAAGTTTGTATGTGATATGTTTCTCTATGTTTTATTTTATGTTTGTATAATTTATCTAGTCTAGATTTTTCTGTGTTCTAATTCTTAACCAGAAAATTTCATGTTTAACACTTGGAATTGTATTGCATCCAGTTTTGGTCACCACACTATAAAAAGATGTTGAGACTCTAAAAAAAGTGTAGAGAAGAGCAACAAGGATGATTAGGGGACTGGAGACTAAAACATATGAAGAATGGTTACAGGAACTGGGCATGGCTAGTCTAGTGAAGAGAAGGACCAGGGGAGACATGATAGCAGTGTTCCAATATTAGAGGGGCTGCCACAGAGAGGAGGGGGGTCAAGCTATTTTCCAAAACACCTGAATGCCAGGCAAGGAATAATGGATGAAAACTGATCCACGAGAGATTCAACCTTATAATAAGGAGGAACTTTCTGACAGTGAGAACAATCAACCAATGGAACAGCTTGCCTTCGGAAGTTGTGGGATCTTCATCATTTGAGACTTTCAAGAAGAGATTGGACTGCCATTTGTCAGAAATGTGTAGGGTCTCCTGCTTAAGCGGAGGGTTGGACTAGATGACCTATAAGGTCCCTTCCAACTCTGTTAATCTGTAATCAATAATAAATGGAATATTGCATTGTTAGTTGGCAGAGCCGATTGCAATTGCTTGGCACCTTCTCAGAATAAATCATCTAAGTCAATATTTCCATATTAAGGAACTCTCCAGATGAATTTCTCCAGAATTTTCCAGCCAGCATGGCCATTGCTAAGATGTTTTCAAGGTGGCCAACTTGGATAAGTAAACAATGAAAACAATGTGGTAGAGTAACAGCTTTGCCCAGTAAATGCTTACATTTTAACCTTCTGTCAGTACTATCGGCCTGGGTCATCCAATGTGGACGAACATATGCTTAGGACTGTATCACATTAGTGGATGATAATAGAATTGTATTAGAAATAGCAACTGTTGGGCTAAGAAAGGGGATGAGGTATGGGAGAATAACATTCAGGAATATATCAAATAACATGTAGTTATTTCTGTTTAATGGGTACCAAGACAATGTTTTCCCACTGCTGCATTTCCCAAAAGCAGCATACACAATTACGAATTCAGCTAACCTGCTTCTTTCAAAAATACATTTTTCCCGAATTTTTCATTCCACAATCATACTAGTTTTTTTTTTAAGACTTGGAATCTAACCCATAGAGCTTCCATCTATGCTGTTCCAAGAAAAATAAAGAGCTACAAGAACAGAAGCGTTTCTTGGATAAAGGTAAAATAATAAATAAAATAGCATTGCTAGAATTGTCAAACAAAAACAAAATATTAGAATTTTTAAATCCACAAAACATAAACAATATTTCACAGCATTAATTGGGCTACCCAGCCCAAATTAAAGAGGATCTAAAGTAATATTAAAAATATATAAAAATTAGCAAAATAAAACAAAAATAAACAATGCAACAATTAAAATAAATTATATAACATATAATAAACGAAATGCTGTAGTTGTCCCCTACTTAATGAAATCAGAGCATTCTGAAAACATGGTTGGCATAAAACAATACAAATTCCTATTATAGAAAGAATGAGATTGTGAAAATTCTGTACAGAGCTGCAAAGTAAAACATTAAGGAGAATGGAGGTATTACTACAGGTAGTGATAACATGTACTCTGGTCATTAAAATACTATACCAGCATGAGAAATATTATCTGTTATCACACATTTTCTTATTTTTCTGACTTTTCATTTCCATCTGTCTTATAATGAAATTGTAGGCTTCCCGGTAGAGGTGGTCTTGAACATTAAAAAATAAGCAAGTAAGTTTGCACTAGGCCAGGCACATGTAATTTGTTAGGCTAAATGGAATGGTGGCATGTTTGATGAGAGAAGAACCAGAGAACCCTGCAACCCTAGCAGATACTGTAAGTGGCAGGGAGAAAGCAGTGTGGTTGCATACTGTATGGTATGCTAGCATCACCACTCGATTGCTACTGCTACGAAGCCAAGTGGAACAATGTGTGACCAAACAACCCAAACTCAGTCACACATAAAATTGATTCCTGTAATCTGTAGAAATTATGCATACCTGAATAAGTTTTGCATACTTTGTTTTTCTGTGTGCTAATTTGAAAAGGTGCGGAATATTAAATCCCATCTGACTGTAAGAAATCCTGATCAGCCGCTCTCCTTCCTGTAATTCTAGGAATTAGAAGTTTTGAAGAACTTGGGAGCTGAGGCTCTCATCAGTTAAAATCTGTGGTCAGGATTACATTTTGCACGTTTCTATGATTTCACAGAATCACATTATATACAGTATACCCTGTTCTGGTTTTACTTTGGGGAAGGATCCTTCAATTAATTTTACTTAAGACAGTGTAGGATAAAGGAATACTTAGGAAAATTAAGTCAAGATCTCTGCTGCCCAACTAACACTGGAGGGTTTGACAGGTGTCTCACAGGACTGCTTGTAATGTCACAAAGTGTGGTTTGATGCAACCCCCACCCCCCAGTCGTAAGCTGTGTTTATTGGTACTGAAATAGTGTCATCAAAAATGACTCCTTGGATTGCATAAAGCCATGGAATAGCCTCCAATCCAAGCTGCCTGGTTTAAAAGAAAGCGCACTAACCTTTCAGTCCTTAGTTCTTTGATCACTAACACATAACGATATTGCTAGTGTGCTCTCTGCAAGATAATCCTTGGCAGTCAGCTACGTTCAATAAATATGGTACTGTTTTATCGTACTTCATTCTCACCAGAACTCAAAATAACACTATGCGTTGTCTTACAAAACTACTAAAAAATTCGCCTTCATCTGGGGTTTTTTTTTCTGCATTTTCCTGTAAACAAAACATGTTTAAAAATTCATCTATTAAAAGTTCGTGCACAGCTAAAAAAATTCTGTACATTTGTCCCCATATTCACTCTTAAATTAACAGTCAAACTAATGTAAGACAAAAGAAAGCTTCAAAGACTGTACAGATGTGCAGACAACCTTTTTGTATCATCCCATATATTTTTGTTATTTTGAATTTCTGGTACTGAACACCTTTTCTTTCATGCCTCCAGGAAGCAGGAAAAAAAGAGAGGTGGGAAAAATAATAATAACTTCAAACAAGGTTTGCTGTTCAGGTGCACCAATGAAGAGTTCAACTTACATACATAATTCATAGCACCAAGCTGTTTGACCAATCAGAGAGGTTTCCAATAGCACACACTGCACACGCATAGTTCTGTACTGGTGTAACTATAATCCTACACAGATGTTTTATAAACTTGCTATCTTGCATTAAAAAATAAGTGCATCAAGTATCTTTGTACATTCAAGTCACTTTCTAAGGCAAATTGTCTACCATAGGTACTCCCAACTGCTTTGGTATTTTGCTTCAGTAAACTTGTCAGTGACCCAGGTGTTTTAGCATGCAAGTTTGTCAAATTTGAAAGAACTCTGAATTTTCGCTGGGAGCATGCCTTAGACCAATATATCCGCATGATAAACTGAATGGGGTTCAAACTACATGCGTATTTTGTCTAAGAGAATTGTGTTACGTGACAATGAAACACTGAATGGGAAGTTGCCAATAGTAAGTGTTTCCAATGCAATGTTCCTTCAAAACCACATTGTTTCACTTAATGTTCTAGCTAAGATGTCACTAAATTAAATATGCCTACTCTGAAAAAAAAAATCCAAATATTTCTTTCTCTAGGATGCTAGACTGCGGGAGGTAAATCACTGACTGCTTTGTAACTAATGCAGAATTAATTATTTTATTCTCCTCTATGCCATCCAACTCATCTTTCCCCTCCCCTCCTCTCTCTCTCCATCTTTTCTCTGTTTCTTCCAAGGGCAAATGCCCACAACCTGGCAGAAGTCAGCAGTGTTTGCTAGTGCATGGTTTCCTAGTGTTCAATGAAGATGAACCTGAATCTGCAGGTTTTGCAGTAATTTGAACCCTATGGTGGGAATACTGTTATTTCCCTTAGCAATTAGCAAAGACTGAAAAAAAAAATAGTGACTTGCATCACTCTGATACAGTATAGCATTTGGCAGGTATATATAGTTCAGCAGCTGAATTAGATGGATTATATTTTTAGAAAAAGTATTTTCAAATTCAAGAATTTCTGGAAACAAAGTTTAAAGTTGAAATGCATTGCTTTTTTTTTTTTTTTTTTACAGTTCAATCTTGCATGCAGGGAAAGATTCATCTTGCATAACCACGGTGCTACTGCTTGCCAAAACCATGATGTTAAGATCCTGTTGTTTCTCGTGGGTCTCTTGGTACCATTCCCTCATCACTTCTGAATCATGTGTTGGGATTAATGTCACCTGTCATATAAAGAGTACATTGGAGAAGACATTACAAAAGGAAGAACAATAAAAAATCTCACTACAGTACTGACACTCTATGGATGTGCACAACCCTGGAATGGAAAATTGTTTGCTGTGGGATGATTCAGCAATTTCTGGAAGTGAATCCCTCCCTGACAACATCATATCAGTAAGGAACAGAGCATTCTGAAATTTTCTAAAACATGAAATTCTCAAACTGGGAGTTTTGTAAAGCCCTGTGACTGCACTACCAACCAACTACTGGTAGTATCGTTGTAAATACCTGTGCATAATCTTACCAAATTTGGCATCATTTAGATGCGTTGGAATTACAATAACCTCCTCAGACCATCCCAACACACCTGGAGAATGGCCAATTGGAAAAGCTTAAACCATCAGAAGAAATAACTGGATATAGGGAGACAATTAGTTATTATTAGACAACCTGTGACCATTGGATGATCCTTTCAGAGATATTTCCTAACCAGATTCTTCAATGTCTTCAACAGTGACAGAGTTTATAATGCATTGCCTTCACTGAAAAAGTTGGGATACATTCAGAAGTGGATCTGCTTTGAAAATAGGCCATGTTGAACTATACAGCCCAGTCAAACATTGGCACAGGATGTGGTATGACATTTTGTATTATGTCATAAACTGCTTTATGATAATGTTTATATGATAAAGTATTTTATAAAATCTTCTAATTTTTAATTCTATAGGAATTATGACTCCCAGATTTTGGACACATTCTATAAGTTAGTCCATTTGAGGTACCTTGACTCAGAAATTTTTTGCTCTATGATGCATCGTTTAGTCCAGGTAAAGATTACGGGAAAGAGTATTTTAGCAGTATATAGAGGGATTTTGAAAAGCAGAATCCCTTAGGGCACCACCATTCTTATTATATCTAGAGAAATACTACTGAGAATATATTGCATCTACTATTTATGTACTTTCTACACTTTTATAACACAGTGTTCCACAGACACAACAATCTTTAGATAAGTTTTTCATTTTAGTACTTTTCAAAATGTCAAAATTCTGTTAGGTAATTATTGCTAAAATTTTATTAACCATTATTTTAGAAATGTGAAGGCCTCTTTTCTATAATTGGATCCTTGCCTGGCACAGTATTTGGGGCACAGAAAAATATTTGGGGAAGTATGCAACTAAGTGGATTTTTAATACATGTATTGTATTTATATTGCATTTTGATTCATGTTAGCTAGCCAGAGTCACACTGGTAAGATGGGTGGCCATGTACGTAAATATAAATAAATGTAAAAAGTGCAAAAAGTATTTTTTTTAAAAGAGAAAACCTTTTTGCATATGATCTTAGAAGTTAGCTTTATATCATTAAGCAGTGGAAATAAATTAATTATGTACGCATGGAAACAAAATTTGATAAAATGTAAGTCGATTTCTTCCATGTGAGAAAAGCAGCATAAACAGTATTCCTTCACACCATCATGCCGTCCAGATGTGTTGGACTAGACCTGTTATTTCCAAACAAGTTTATATTTCAACACAGCTAGAGAAAGTACACGATGGAAAAGATCAACACAATTTTTTTTTTTTTTGGGCTTAATTCTCAAAAGAAGGTTTTTCTGTTTAGGCTATTTAGTTTTCGTAAGAGTACTTCTATGCCTGAAAGAAGATGCTGTACTAGCAGAGTTATCCAAAAATAGTCACGAGAAGAGAATGTAAGGCAAGACATATAACAACCCTGCTGCACTTACATACAACTATAGGTCCAATTGAACATAATCTTTTTCTAGGCTTATGTTCAACTTCTCAGCTGGGCTATCAAAATAATTCAGAGCAAGTAGTGAACAATCGAATATAGTAATCTACTCATAATCCTCTTGAAATTCCTGGATTAAACTTCATATTATAGTGGTTTGATGTTGATTTACATTTCAGTAGAGATCACTTCCATTCTATATATTTTTATTTTTATTTACAGATCTATCTTTATTTTTTTTTAAAATATTTGGTTAACTAAAAAATCATACTGGTGCTTTCCTTTCTGCCAGCAACAAACTGGCTAAGTGGGACAGGGGTGGGTTCTAAATTTTTTTACTACCGGTTCTGTGGGTGTGGCTTATTTTGTGGGCATGGCTTGATGGTCATGTGACAATTATTTAGGATTTAGCAGAGGTACTGGTCTACCAGGCTTTTAACTGCTTGCAGAGCTGTACCGATCTACCCATTTATTTTTTGCAGGCACTGGTCTACTCATGTATTTTTGCAGGCACTGATCTACTCATGTATTTTTGCAGGCACCGGTCTACTCATTTGTTTTCTTTTAACACTGATCAGCTGTAGGGGGGCCCTTTGAAGCCCCGTGGCAAGAGTTTAAACATTTTTTTTCCCTCTAGCCATCAGCTGGGACTCAGGAGTCAGCAATAGATTGGGGGTGAGGCCAAATAAAAGGTAAGAATAACGCAGGGGGGGGAGGGCGCGGGGGGGCAGAACCAGTTTGTCGAACTGGGAGGAACCCACCACTGAGGTGGGAGTAGAAAGTAGTGTTCACTACCTTGTTTTCTTGATTCTGTTCTTCAATTGAAAAGAAGTCTTTTCATTTCCTCCAATGGGAGTGAATCCACTTAGATCCATTTTCAAACATTGAGACTCATGGTGAAAAGTTAGCAGTGCTGAGGATCATTTGGATCTTCATTGATTCTGCTCTAAGCACCAAAACTTTCAAATTCTTCTCAATATCAGAGTTTAGGGATGAGGGAACACTGAGTGCAAAGTAATCAGGGAAGAGGAGAGATCCAATATTTTATTTATTTATTTTCTTTATTTTTCAAGTTTATTTGCTACCCATCTTGCAGTTCTCATTGGAATCCCACTTTAGGGAATGGAGAAAAATGAAAATTTATTTTGCCCCAGGAAGTGCTGTCTCTATGATCACAGTATTACACACAGAATACACGATTAATCAATTACAAATTACTCAATCAACTCTCCTGAGTTAAAAAAAACCAACTCTTTCAGATGATTTAGATGTACCACTTTTCTTATCTTGTAATTTTAAACAAAAGCAAGTTCTTCCCCTTTAGGTTTCGTTACTGAATTCAGATAACTAAAAGATGATTCTTAGCATCTTATTTTTAACGGGCTTTCCTTTACTTCATAGATTCTGGAGAACGTACCTGCATATTGCTGCCCCACTGAGCTTTGCCTTCCAACAGGGAATCCAAGACAGCCCTGCTTGGTTCTTCAGCAGCAGGATCATTCCCACTCACAACATAATAGGATGATCTCACCCTCTTGAAAAATTCTATATCAACATTCTTGCTATTGCTGTGGTTGGGAATATAGACCAGGTCCAAATACATAGGAGGTCCTGGAGGCACAGCTATAGATTTTGTTGGTTTCCCATTTCCAGGTCCTAAAAAAATAATAAATAAGAGTCCTGTCTCAGTTTGTGGTAATAAACATAGTCTACTAATGATAAACTCAAGTTGGACAGACTGACACATCAAGCTCCAGCTGTCATGTTCATATATTTTTAATGGTTTTGAATTATCCTGTGGAATTTAAGCGGTTGATAAAATCAGATATTTGTACCATATAAATGTACTTAGTGAACAGAACAAGATATGTACAAAAAGAATAAGTTATTAACCATATGTGTGTATATATGCATACATGCCTGTTTGTGTATATGTATGAATGCGTTCATTTTATTTTATTTTATTTATATTCCATTTTTTTTATACAGGAACACAAAGCAGCATACATAGTGCTCCTTTCTCCCATTTTCTCCCTACAACAACTGTGAAAGAAATTGGGCTGAGAAGAGAATGACTGGTTCAAAGCCATCCAGTGTGCTTTCTTACTTGAGAGGGACCAGAATGCATGCATGCATGCATGCATCCATCCATCCATCCATCCATACGTACATACATACACATAAACATAGTTTCCCTGCTCATAGTCCAATACCTGATGTATTACACCACATGGGTTCTGAATATCACATATTACAAGGTAGGTGAAATGTAAGAGATTCGGGAGCACAAGCATTAAGAGGGTAAAGCTTGATTTTTAGTTTCCTTGGAAAAATCATATAGAAATAATCTGCTCCTGCCCATGGCCAAGATACTTTTAAAACACTCCCATTCTAGCCTATAGTCTAATATTTCTTGGGGATCGCTTACACAATTATTATCTATGTCTGCCCTTTTTTCAGATCAATCAAAATTGTTTAATTGCTGTCACCTTGTTGGGCAGGCACAAGATGTTAGTGCATGCTAATCAAAAACAAAAAGAAAGACCCCAACACACCAGATACAGTTGACGTTAAAAGAAGAAAGTATGGATGATTGATGTGGCAATACTAGGGGATAGTAGAATAGAAGACAAAGAATGGAGAAGAACATAAAATATCCAGACCTGAAAATCAAAACTGAAACCTTGTGGCATAAACCAGCTGTGGTGCTTACAGTGGTTATGAGCACGCTAGATAGAACTTTGAAAATCTGTGTATTGACAAATTTTCCATCTGTCAATTACAAAATATCACACTGCTTGAATCCTCACTTATACTACACCAACACATAATAACATCTTAAGTTTTTGGATAGAACTCAATGCATATAAAGACTAAAACCAGCTACAAATTGCAGCTGTGACTTCATATTGTTGTGAACATATAGTAATAATAATTTACTGTGATTTCACATTGTTCTGTATGTAATAATAATGTATTCAATTTATAGGCTATCCAATTCTCAATGACTCTGGGCAGCTTATATTTCTTTCTAATATTATGGTTTCAAATTATAGTAACCTTCCCCAGCTCAGTAGTATCAAAAAGTATTAACTTTCTTTAACATTTAAATATAAATTAAAACATTAGTACCATCACTTTAGTTAGCAGAAAGTAACACAATGCTCAGTGGTTATTTTTAAACTAAGTATCTGACCACAAATTGCTATGTATGTTAAGAGCAGTATTCTCCTTTGACTAAGAAGTAAGAACATTATCCATCATTTTAACCATTTAAAGTTGTTTTCCAATGTTGTTGAATCTAGTTTGACACTGAATTATTCTGACTTATAAACACAGGTTTTAAATTTTCTAGCAATCACTGACAGAAATATTGTCATTTCTTAATGCAGTAATTTTTCATTTGCTTTCTCAAATACTGATGATAACTATAAACTAAAACGTAGCATAACAACTGATGTATTAGGTTCCAATTCCATAACTTGGATTTGTCTGTGAAGGAAATATGGGTTTTAAAATCCAAAATATCTTGAAATGAACAGTTAGAGAAGGATAGGCACTTTAAGTTGAATAGCTACTATCCATTCAGCATTTTTTTTTTACTTTTGCTATACTAGGCAAAGTTCAAAAAGAAATTTCCATACAATTTTCCTGTAACAACAGATTATGTTTATTTATATTCCATCTAATCCCAATTTGAAGCATGATTTTTTGAAGAAGGAATAATATATCAGCCATTATGACAAACTTTGATACCTTTCTTTAAAATCCTAAGACTTGTGAGGGGTGTAAAATGATCTGAATATTTTAAGTTCTAAAATTTCTAGTCCTTTTTTTAACATGAAAGAACTCTGCATTCTACAATTATCTTGATTTGACTAGGGAACCTGCTTGATAGACATTTTTCTATTTTTCTTTCAAACTATAATGTTTCTCATGAAAGGGGTCTAAGTTTGTTTTTGCTTATTCTTATCCTCCTCCCCCTTTTGAAAACATTTCATGAAAAATCACAGCAGTAATATTTTTCTACATTCCAACTGCCATCTTTAAATTGAACTGGACTGGAATGTGTACTCCTTGATTCTTAATATTGTCCACATGGTAAAATATTTACTGTAGTAATTTTGTTTTGTCTTGCACAGCTACACACTATTCTGAAATACTGTTTAGAAACACTTGTAGACAAACATAAATGTTTCATTAAAAAAACCCAATGTTTTTTGAAGTTGAATCATGCTAAAATCATTCAGGTTAACAAGTCTGAAATAAACTAAATTAATGCTATTTTAATGGTCCTCATGTAAAATAATGGCTTTTAAAACAGGTAGGTTTAAATACAGCTACAGAAAAATATCCTATGTTCTCTTTAGTTACACTAGAGCTATCAATGAAGGCTGAGGATTTTGAGTGCTGCAGTCTGGTACGTCTCAAAGACAATAGGTTGAAGGAAGCTGATATATGAGATTATCTCACCTGAAGTTGTGGTCTTTGCTGACTTTGATGTTGTAGAATTGGCCGCATTCTTAGTTTCCTTATCTTTCTCTTCATTATGAGATGATTTTATCTCTGGAGTAGAGATATTTTTGGCAGCTTTCTCCACAGACTCCTTCTTCTTCGGAGAAGCTGTTCTGGAAACTTTATCTAATGATTCCTTCAAGCCAGCAGGTTTTGGAGAAGCCACTTGCTTAGGTTTGCTATCACTCTTCTTGGCAGGAGAGGAAGATTTGGTCTTAGTCCCCTGCTTTTTTGTTTTTGTTTTTTCTTTCAGATCCTTTTTCAAAGGTTTTCCTAGATTCTGGTCAATAGGTAATGTCTCCGGATCAACCATGGAGACATCTGGGTGCCTAGGCGAAGGGCTGCGATCTTGAACAGGGACTGGGGGAGGGTCAATGTGTTCATATGTAATCGTTTTATCTGTCGGTATCGTTTCAGATTCATCTTCTGAATCAATGTTAGCATCTGCTGTAATGGAAGGACACTCTTCTGTTTCAGGGGGTACATCTGAGTCGGTCTGTGATGGAGCAGATTCGCTTACAGAAGTCGGGGGCGTTTCACCACACAGGCGAGCTGGCTGTTTTCCTCCAGAGGGTGGTGGAGCCCCTCCGGACTGAACCAACAGCTTTTCTTGGTCTTGAGATTGTTCTTCATTTGCAAACCATTCTAAGGGGTTAGGATTTATAAAAGAAGGTGACAGTTCTGTTTTGGGATGCTTGTATTCACAGGATGAGACAAGACATAAATCAACATCTTGACGGATTTCAGATTTTTCTGAAACAAAGTATTTGTCATTCTCAAAGCGATAACTTGAAATGTCAGGTGATTTGGTAGCTTTCTCTGCATATTCAAAAGGATAATGGACAGACTCTGACAGTTTGGGGGATTTTTCATAAGAATAATCAAGGGCTTCTGGTGATTTGGTGGTTTTTTCTGTTTTTTCGTAGGAATAACTATCTGCCTCTATTGATCCAGTGATTTCCTTTGTTGCAGCATAGTTGTAATCAAAAGTTTCAGGGGATTCAGTGACTTCCTCTGTTTTTTCATAGGAATAACTAATAGCCTCAGGTGACCTAGTGGTTCTTCCAGTTTCCTTATAAGAGTAAATAAGAGGTTCTGGTGATATGGATGTTTCTTCAGTATCTTCCTGATCCTTAGATACTAGAAGCTCTTGGCCATGTTTTGTCTCAGGATCTTGAACAATTGATGTATGATAGCCAAACAATTTGTCTGGGGATACGTGCAATGATAATAGAGATGACTGAGAAGCAGCCATTGTTTCTTTCATTATGGGTGGTGAATCTGAAAAACTAGGTGAATACAAAGGAGAAGATTCCCGTGGTGTCAATGAAGATAAATCAGACTTTGGTGAGAGTTTCTCTCCCAAGCTTTGCATTTTTTCTGATGGAAATGTAGAATGTAATGGCATATCACTGGGATGTGTAACAGCTGATAGGATTTCTTCTTGCAGGGGAGAACTTGCCTGTGAAGGTGTATGGACAGAAGAAGTGGAAGGTGAAGGTGAAGCCTCTATCTGAGAAACGGAAATAATTTCTGAAATATCCTTCTCGTGGCTAAAACACACTTGTTCCACTGGTGATATTTTATCTGGAAATCCATGTTCCTGCATGTCTGAAGGGCTAAAATCAACTTCTGTGGGACCATTTTCAGATATATGGTACACACCAGCACCTACTATGGGTTGCTCAGGTGACTGTCTGCTAAAATCCATGGCCAAAGACTGTTCAGGTGAATCTTGTCCAAATTCTACTGACATAGTCAATTGTTCGGGAGATCTATGATCTAGTATTGGTGTTCTTGACTTTGCTGTTTTAGGAGAAAAGTCTGGTGGAGAAATAGACATTGGTCTTGGACACTCTTCTTTAGATGGAGACATTTCTGTTTCTTGAAATGTAGTCGGTGTTTGTACAACAGACACAGAGAGAGAATCATCAACTTCAGTAGAGTGAGGAGATCCAACCTCAGCATGTAACGAAGGAGATACATCATCAGTAGTTGGTTCTGGGAATGAACTAGTAGCAACAGATGCTGTAGAAACAGACGCAACTCCTTCAATATGGGAATAAGTATCTTCTGCTACAACTTCATCAACAGGAGTTGCAGATTTATCAGAGACAGTACTTTCAGATATTGACATTTTAGTGTCCTCTTTGAAATAGCCTAAATGACTAATATCCACTTGAGTAGGGGAGACCTCTGCCAGCTTCCTCTCATCCAAAACTAATGCAGACTGAATTTCTGAAGTTTCTAAATCATCCTTTTTCTTTTCTAGAAGAATGTCTGATTTTGGAGGTGTCAGCTCCAAATCTTTTTCATCCTGCTGCTCTTGGAAAATATTTGTCGAAGTAACTTCAGAAACTGAGCTCTCCTGCAACACGGAATCATCTGTTTCACTTTTCTTTTCAAAGGTGGTTTCAGTTTCTTTGAGAGATTTTATATCAGCACTTAAAAATGCATCATAAGAAGATTCTGTACCAATAAGTGGTGGACTTCGCAAAGGTGAAAGCACTTTCTCAAAAGGCGATTCAGAATCAGGCACTGGTTCATCCATTGGGCTTATTCTGTGTTTTGCAACATTGTCTTTGGCATCACTAACTTCAACACTGATTGGCACTTCAGTTGTCTTTCCAGGAATCTCAGTTGGAAGTTGGTTTGATTTTTCATCAGTGGGAGACTGATAATAAGGAGTGTGACCAGCACTCCCAGCAGCTGATTGTGAAGGGGATACCACTTCTAATGTTTTATCATCAGGGCTGGGGCACTGTTCTTCCTGGGTTTCGTGGTGTTTTTCTGGCAGTGTTGTGAGAGACACAGGCTCAGTTGATGTTTTAATCTCATTGGGAGTTAGGGAAAAGTTCACACTACGTTCGCTAAGAGGTGTTTTAGCAACTGGTGATAGTGGGGCTGGACTTTCATCTATAGTCGGGCTACTCTTCTCCTCCCAAGTTTCTGAAATTTCTAATTTATTAACAGTTTTGAATTCATTTTCCCGAAGATGATACAGATCCTGGAAGGAAGTTTTGTTAAATTTATCTTCCTCTAATGAAGAAGGTGGTGAAATGGTAGAAGCTGAAACATTATAATCTTTGCCTTCAGTAGCATCTGTTTTTGATCCTTCGGATAACCCATTAAAAGCATCAGGAAGAGGAGCAATTTTAGGTCTAGCAAAATCTTGAGAATATAGTGCTGACTCATACTTAGTAATGTTAACATATTCTTGGGAAGGAGATTCACTTTCTTCATTATTTGTTTCATCACTCATTACATCTCGTGGAGTTGACATTCCATCCATTGGAGTTGGTTCACTGGATATTTCAATGGTGGACTGGGTATAACCTGAAGTAGCAGTGAATTCCTCAGGCTGGTCTTCTCTGTTTTCTTCATCTGAAACAGTTGCTTCACTTTCTGACCCACCAGGTAGAGTTTCATCATGGATTGAAGATGCTGGTTCCTTTGCCGGAGACGGAGATTCTGACAATTTAGTTGGAGTAGTTATAGGCAAACCATATTTATCATCCATTTCAGCAGCTTCAGCTGCTTTGTCTACTACAGCCATGACATAATCCCCTTCAGCTTGTATTTTTTCAGTTTCCTCTTCATCTTTGACCTCCTCAGTTTTGTCTTCTTCAATTTCTTCTTCAGTGTCTTCTGTTTCTGCTTTTTCAACTGTTGTTTCTTCTAAATTTTCCACATAGTGATCTTCATACTCCATTCTAAATTCTGCTTTTTTATCATACATTAGCCCTTTCATTTTTTCATTTTCGGGGGCTTCTATCATTTCTTTTTCAATCTCCTCTGTTTCAATGATATCCTTTATGCCTTGCTTTTTGAAACTTGTTGGCACTTCTTCATTGTCCCCTTGTACTTCTGCCTCCTCGGTCTCAGCCTTTTCTTCATAGTCGCCTGCCTCAGAAGATTCTTCAAAACCTGTTCCTTCCTCTTCAAATTTTTCACTATCATCAACCTTGTCCTTTCCCACAGACTCCAGCTCTTCAGGAGTTTGTTCACATTCTCCCTCAGGTTCTGCAGCGGTGATATCTTCATCAGGAGAATGAATTGGACCTTCTATTTTTTCTTTTTGAACTGTATAATCTTCCTTTTGTTCTACATCAGTTAGCTGGCTTTCATTTTTAACTTTATCTTCCTTTGTTTCCTTCACGACTTCAACTTCTTCTGCTTTTAGTTCTTCAAAATCTTTTGTTAAGTCTTCTGGTGAGGACATAAGTGACCTCTCGACTTCAAGTTCTTTCCCACTGGCTGCTAGGCTTGCAGCTGCTACTGTTGCAGCCCCAGCTCCCAAAACAGTTGCTGCTGCAGCAGATTTTTCAGCCACTTTGAGCTCTTTCTTCACTGGCTTGCTTTTAACTTTTTCTTTGGGTTTCCCAGCAAGTCCACTTTCTTTTTTGACGGGTTCTTCCTTCTTCTGTGGTTTTGACTTTGCTGTAATCTTCTTTGATTCAGGCAAAGCAGCAGAGGTTTTCTTTATCTCCTTAGGAACCTTCTTGATTTCTCTCTTTTCTTCCTTTTTCACTTCCTTTTTCTCTTCTTTTTTGGATTCTTTTGGAGCAGCTTCTTTCTTTGGCTCTTTTTTAGATTCTTTTTTTATTTCTTTCTTCAAATCATCCTTTTTAGGCTTTTCTTCTTTCCTGATCTGGGATTTTTCATCCTTCTTAGGCATCTCTTTCTTTGACTTTTCTTTCTCCTCTTGTTTTTCTTCAGATTTTACTTTCACTTCCTTTTTCACATGCTTCTCCTTTATTACTTTTGGTTTCACATCGGTGGTTTGTTTTTCAATAGTTTCAGATTTCACAATTGGTTGCTCTTTTGCCGTTAGGTCTTTTTCAGTCACAGAGAGCCTACTTTCACTTTTTGCTGGTTTTTCCTTTCTTATGATGGGTTTTTCTACTTTTTGAGCTTTTTCTGGTGGGCTAGATTTCCCTGTGTCAGAGGCCTCCTCTCTCGATTCTTTTCTGACAGTCTTTGTAGACAGTGTTTTAGTGATTGGCTTGAGACTTTCTTTGCTGTCTGTTCTCTGCTTCAGTTTTGTCTGCTTTACTGCAGGACTTGTCAGGTTACCACTTAAGTCTTTTTGTGTCACTATTGGTTGTTTAAGGAAGTCCAAATGTTTGAGCTTTTCTAGGCCATCTAATATGCTATACTGTGTACTGTTCCCTGGGAAAAGAACTCTGATGATTTTTTCAGCAGGGTTTGCAGGATGCCATACAATCAATGATGAGATTGAAGTCAGGTAGGAAACTGGGATATCTATTTCTTGACCATTTGGTAATATTAGTTCAGTTTTATCTTTATTCGTACCTGTCCACTGCTGCATGAAATATTGCATTTCTTTGCTGTTTTTGACTGGGTTAAGCACATACATTTCCAGTTTCCCTACACCCATTTTTTGAAAAAGGATAATGGGCTCAGTGTTGCTTCCTATATTTCTAAAGAGAGGTTCTGGTTTCATGGAGAGCTTGTTTAAGTATTGCAAAGTAAAACAAGCCTCTTCTACACTTCTTTTTAACTGCAAATTAGGATCTGGGTTTCCTAGGCTTTCGGGAACATTAAGAAATACAACTCCCAAATCAGGTGAAATTAGATTTTTCATCCAGTCGCTATTGGTAGTAGAGCCTTGAGACTGCTCCTCTTCCAATTCTGCTATTTTCCGTTGCAACATGCTGTTAATTCCTGGCAAATTATCATCTCCAATGTGAGTGAGCAAAATTGAATCTACTCTGTCCAAATGTCTGATGAGTTTCCAGAAGCAAGATTTTCTCTCTGATCCTCCATTGATAAGCATGTTGAACCCATTCACAGCAAACAGCGCGGAATCTCCTCTTCCACCAGGGAAAATGTAACAACAAGGCTTAGAAAGTTTCAGGAAGCCTCCTGATGTTGGCGGCTCCAAAATATCAAATGGTGATGGTACTTCCACTGACTCTGACAAGTACTCTGTAAATTCAGAAAGCCCTTCCATTTCAGGCAAAATATAAGAAGAATTCAGCTTAATGTTGATGAAATCTTGAAGGTTGTGTCTGTCAAGGTTTGAATTCTTCCAGTCCCCTTCCTCAGGACAGAAAAGTGTTAAGCTGGCCTTGTTGGCAGGATGAGTAGTGCTCAATAATTCGCCAATCTGAAATTGAAAAAACCCAAGCAGAAATATATGATATGATTCTATACTCTTAATTCATAATTATGTCTCAAAATTAAATCAGTAGAAAGTGGATGTGCTTTCTGAGTTAGAATTTTGCCTTTGGCCCCCATAATTGATTTCAGTGTTCTAGTACAAATCAAAGTAATTATGCTAGTCTAAAGTCTTCTTTTCTCGAATATACACTGTTATCTGCAAGGGGGAAAAAAATTATATACAATTATATACAGGCTCGGTGCCAAGGCATTTCCATATTAAGAAAAGTTGCTTTTATTTCAAAAGTATTTATATTCCATCATGGTTTTAGCTATGGAAATATCTCAGCTGTGTTTGCTGACTTCCTAGAAAGATTGAGCCAATTTAATGCTATTGTTTTAGACTTGGATAGTAACATTACCTACATTTAAAGAGTAAAGTAAGCATGAAGAAGGCAAACTAGAACATACAGATATAAAAGATCTGGATTAAAAAAGAACACTTGCTTCTAGACCCTTGTCTAGGTTTGTTTCAGAAACAAATATACTTGGCTTCTGAATTGAATATATATTCATAATGCAGAGAAGACCTCAGTTGACCTCATTTTTAATAACTTTCACCTGACACCCTGGGATGGAAACAACATTGGTCAGCCTAGAGTTACCTTTCTGAGACACTGAATGTGGAAATGCACTTTCTTGGGCCTATTAGACCTCTATCAACTATGTCCAATACCATTAAACATGGCATCTTGCTGGACCATCAACAAAGGTTGTAAGATTGCATCATGCTTTTGTGTTCTGGCTCTTACCTCAAAGGGAAGCTGCAGTCAGTTGGGGGACAATCTTCAAACCTATGATTACTGCAGTGTGAGATACTCTATTTAATATATCTATCAAGCTGCTTGTTAGTTTGGGGTAGGATGTCATCAGCACGTTGATAATACTCATGTATTCACTGTCAGTCCTGCTTAAGCCTTGGAGATCATATAAAGTCTTAGCAAGTGTCTGGAGACTGTTAAGTTTAAGATTAAATCCCTCCAAGAACAAGCTCCTAAACATCAATATATATATGTGAACACCAGTCACCATGATACCTTATATGGGATCATGTGCTCCCCAAAGGAATTGCTTCATGACCTACGGGTCCTTTTGGATCTACAGCTACCATTTAAACAGTAGGTAGAAGCAATGGGCAGCTGGACCATCAGTTGACACACTTCCTATCCCAAGATACTTTGGTGATGTTAACTTCTTCTGTGATCCACATATAGTTGGATTAATGTAATGCACTCCATGTGGGACAGCCTTTGAAAATGTTCCAGAAGCTGCAGGTGATCCTGAATAAGGATGCTAGATTACAGGTAGAATAGCCCTGCCACTGCCACGCAACACTGATTTTGAATTTGTTATAAGGGCTATCAGTATTAACATCCTGGCCAATTTAAACTGTTCATTAACCCTTCAAAGCCCTATGTGGTATGGCATTATTTCCCAAGGACTGAATCTGCCCAGTCAATAAGAATATCTCAAAAGGGTTTGCTGAGGTTCATATAATACGCTCCTTCTTGGCATTCTGCAAGGCAACTAAAACAAATTTATTCCGTCAAGATTTTAACTCAAGTGATTGCTTAGTGACATTAATATTGGAATGTATTGTTACTTACAAATAGCCCTTGAGTTACTTGCAATTGACGCTAGAATTTCCATTGCTATGCAATGCAGTTGTAAAGCACAATGTCATGTGACTTCATTTCTTAGCTATGGTAATTCTTGCAGTCCCAATTGCCATTGTTAGGTGGGGATCATAGGTCATTAAGCAAGCATCTCCTTGCAATATCCTGCTGGATTCCAATGACCAAAGGCAAGCAGGTAAAGAGAGAGTGGGAGAGAATGTACAAAGATGTGTGGGTGTTTGGGGATATACAGTGTGTGAGACTTGGGGATGGCATGCCAGGGTGCATAAGTGTACAAGTGGCCAAGGAGGTGCAGTGTGAGCATAGTTGAGCTTAGTGAGTGTGCAGGTGACAGGGAAGCACAGTACAAGCATGGTGGGGATTGAGATGGCTGCTGTCAGGTGAAGGAACGAATGCAAGTAGTAAGGGAGGAAGGTCTAAACTCAATGAGGTTGGGGAAGGATGTTCCAGTGGCCAAGAAAGGATGTGTGAATCACTGGACAGGTACCACACAAGCATAGTGAGACTTGGGGAGAGTGTGCAAGGTGGTGCAAGTGGCCACTGAGGAATGGCGCAAGCAAAGGAGCACTGGAGGTGGTTCTGCAGGCAGGGGAATTTTACTTAAGCAACTTGAGACCTGCCCTGCTGGCTTTCTGATTGACTTCACTTGTGTGAAGCTGTGGGAAAGTTGCAAATCGCAAATCATGTGATTGTGGGGTGCTGTAACCATCATAGGTGCCATCATGATCACGTGATCACAGGGATGCTGGAATAGCCAGAAGAACAGTTTAAGAACCAGTTGTAACCACCACTAGTTCAGGACTTTCATGTTTGAACAATTGCTCAACGAGTGCTCGTTAACTGAGAAATAGCTGTATACTCTGGATTTATCTATTTGCTTTGTTGCATATCCCCTCAGGTTGGAGATGGAGATAAAAACTGTAAGCAAATAAATAAAAACTGATTATCTTTTATTCCTTGTCCTGCAGTCTATTTTATTTTAAAAATGAATAGCATGATGGACATCTATTTCTGATTTTTTTACTCCTCTTCAAAACATTAAATGACTAAATCTGCTGTACAATCAAAAGTACAAACAAAGCTTCAACCCCAATGAGTTTACAGAGTAGCAACAATTAAGAAACAAACCTCTTGGTCTGTGAAGATCTCAATGAAATTCTGAAATGAGAAAGATCCTGACTGAAGAATGAGTTCGCCTGTATTTTCAAAGTTTTGCCCAGTTAGTACCAGAAGTTTATGTCGTGCAGCATCTGTTATCATTAAACGCACCTGCAGTAGAAGATACAAATAATCACTTTGAAACATCTTTTATACTTCACGCTTTCTTTAGGGGAAAAATTAATATTAATAACCTCAAGGAAAGTATACATTATCCTTAGACCATATTTATCAAAAAAAAGGAGGAATGATTGTATTTCAGTGAGGGAGGAAGATTGTTTTAAAATCAAAACAATAATGTTAATCCAATCAAGTTAAAAGAACAGAATAGCAAGTCCAGTGAAAATTAAGAAGTTTGGGAAGTTTGGAAAAATAAGCATCTATGGTGTTATTCACAATAATCCTAAATAGCGGATTTGGTCTGCGCAATGTTGGGACTACCAGATTGCAGAGATCTATCTGGATGACCATTAGAGGAAATCAAAAATAGTTTTTGTACTTCTTTGCTATCATCTAGTAAGTCATCCAGGCTTTTTGTTGTTAATGCCAAGGAAAACAACCACATAATTGATTAGAATGATGTGTGACCCCAGAATTTGCCTTGCTCTGAAATGGAATAACAGTAGATTCTAGGTGCGCATTCAAGGGAAGAGACTTCCACAGATATGTTATCATGACAACAAAGCCAAATTATCCCAAGATATGTATTAATAATTTGGTCTGAAACTAAATTTGGTGTATTAAATCCAAAATATTAAAGAAAAGTTTTAAAAGATTGTTAAAAAGACACACGATTCATATGATTTATTTTCATAGGATATATACTGTATTCTAAAGTAAACATGCATGGAAAAGAGAATCAAAGCTTAAGTCTCCAGTCCATGTGAACGCTGGTTTTGTCTCCACAACCATCAGCAGCATCTTATGCCGCTCAGAAACCTCAGCCTTCCTTTCCCTGACACAATTATCTAGCCAACCCTCCATCTGGGTTATGTGGTAGCACTAACCATGGCAATTAGCTAACATTCCTCCTCTTCTCTGACTGCAGTTTGCTGTTAAAGTGAAAAGGCCCATCCACTGTGGGTGGATCAACAAAAGCATTTTGTGGAGAACATCTGTGAAGGATAGGGGAATTGTGACCACTGTGCCTTATTACCTAGCAGGAAAGGGAAAAACCACAGGAGGTGGGCCAAAGTGGGTGATTCTAGCAATGGGAAAATTACTTCCCCTGCAGTTCCACACAGGAAATGTTGCAAAGTGGACTTCCTGCTGTTCTCTCTGGATTAAGAGCCAAACTATTAATTTCCTTACCTTTCCAAACTCTAAGAAAGTCCCACAAGACCACAGGGCTTTGAATGGCACCAACCTGAGATCAAAATAGCTCCCACATGTGTGAGGGGATCAAATTTTCATAAACAAAAGAGAAATTTTAGCAGAGAAAAAGTACCTCAACCTCATACCTGCAGTTGCAGGAGAAATCGAATTAATGATTTTTTTAATGCTATGTTACCAAATGTAGGAAATCATGTCTCAGAAATATATAATTACAGGTAGTCCTCACTTAACAACTGCCTTGTTTAGAGACCATTCAAAGTTACAATGGTGTTGAAAAAATATCCTTATGGTCATTTCTTACCCTTTGAAGAATCCCACAGTTATGTGATCATCATTTTCATGCTTCACAGCCAGCTTCCAATAAACAACTTCTCAAAGGAGTAGCCAGAAGTAAAATCAACAAGTTGTGATAATGTGATGTCTCACTTAATGACTGCGGGTGATTTGCTTAATGACCACAGTGGAAGTGGAGTTATAAACCCATCACAATCACATAGCATCTTGCTTAACTACTGTGCTTTTAGTGATGAGTTGCCAGTCCCAATTATGGTTGTTAAGTGAGGTCTATCTTTATAGCTAGTGATGAGAATAATTTCTTCAGATCAATAATGACAACACAATTTTCATCTTGTCTTTGATGTCAGAAAATTAGAATATGCTATAAAAAAACAAGTATCCCCTCAATTTTGGTTCAATGTATGGGTGATCATAGCTATCTGCAGTGATGAAAAAAATATCAATAATGTGCTTCATGACATTATGATGAAAATCCAATCTTTTCATATTTGTGTTCTAATATCCAGCACAAATACATGCCATGGAACTGAAAGAAGAGAATATTTGTAACTCAAGGTTTAGCTATGTCAACACTGATTCTGTTATCTAGTTTGGTAATGAAACATCTACAAGAAAACAACCAAGCTCAGAGAGTTTGCCATGCCATGGAGTTTGCATTGGGACAACATATATTTTCTCATTTGCTCCTCCCTTCAGACACATATGATTCAATGAATTACCTTTTATAATGAGTTCAGGGATGATCACTAAAAGCTTTAGGAAACAGAAAAAAGCAAATTCAATGCTGATTTAAAACTAATTATGCTGGGAAATAAAAATGTACCTTTACTTTTAATGGGCTATGTCTTTCCTGTTTATCATCATTATTAAACAATAAGATTACTGTCTGACTATCTCATGAATGTCACTTAAATTTCATCCCTTTTAAGTGCACTAGATCCATTAAAAACAGACTTCTCTTCTTTTATTGTTTCCTGTACCTGGTGGTAAAAGACTCTAGAAAGGCTGTCAGCACATTTTACAAAGTGAACAGCTTTTCCAGGAAAAACAGACAGACAAAAATATTTCACTAATATATGGCTTCTGCATTATACTTCTACATTTTATGTATTTTAGAGGATGGCATGCAGAAATTGGCAAAAGTAAGAAATTAACAAAATTCTTGCCAAATATTCACTGAAAGAATGCTGTCAACTTATAATGAGAAATATCTATTATATTACGGTAAAAAAAAAGAGGAAAAGACTTGTTTTTTTTAAGAAATAAAAAACTTCCCCAGATAAAATCAAAATTAACTTTAGCAAAACAACAAACAAAAGCAGCCCATTAATTACCCCCCCCCCAAAAAAACACAAAAGAAAAGTTTTAAAACACAAACAATTATTTATAGGAGACTGAGTATTGTGGCTTAATCCATTTGGACAGTACTAGCATAGGGTAAGAAATAAGCAAAAACAGTGAGATGTAAAATAATTGTGATCAGTTTGTTGAGTAACTTAAAGCCAGAGGGAGCTTGCAAGTAAAGAGATCAGGATTTTGAATGATAAAGAAATTAAAGATATGTTAAAGAAAGACAAGGATTCAAGAGTTCTCAAATTAAATATAACAATTGGCAATATTTTACAAAGATATAGAACATCCTCCAGAAAATTACCTCCATGAAAAATGAGAAGAAAATAACCAATCAAATGGTAATTTTAAAAAAAGATCCAAAAGGATCCAGAAAATTATACATGCGAGTTGATATTTATTGGAAAATATCAACAAGATATTGAATATTTGGAAAAGTCGTAGAAAACCCTAAGAAAAAAAAAGTAATAATCAGAAATTAATTTAAAATAAGCAGAAAAACATGTAGGGAGAGCTTTATCAAATTGATGAATGAGTACTACTCTTTAAGATGGTTTAGATGAATGGGTGGGAACAATAGGAAAAGTCACTTGTCTCTCTGAGTATTTATAGATTTGTCACAAGCATTTGATTGACCGCTGAGAGAAACAAGATACTCCCATCAGTCTGCCATGCATGTTATTTTATATTGTATTCACATCACTTGCTTTTTCCTCATAAATTATAGAAGACGATATACAATGTCACCAAGGAAATGGAAGGGAATATGAAATATCATTTATTTATTGATTCATATATTTAGGGTTTATTTTCATCTAGGAATGGATGAAAAAAATGAGAGATAAGCATGAAACCAAAAATATAACACAATTAGACCACAATATTAATATACACTATTATTGTACCTGAATATAATTCACACTAAACTCAGTGGAACTTACTTAACAGTAGACATGCATTCTATTTCATTTTAAGTGATATAGATAAAATAGGTAAATAAAAATATCAGTATCTCTGGTCTAGTTGCTTTGAGTTATTTTATGCCCATAGCATGTAATTTTGATTAAAGTATATCAGCATAGGTATGATTTTTTAAAATTACTTTACCTCAGTGCTGACTGCTTCATCAGAAGGATTAATCAGCACAACGGTTTCTAAAACTTCACTTCTGTGGTGAAGGATTTTTTGACCTGTGAAAATATGGAAGAAAAGAAAAAATGAATTTTAAATCCTGCATTTTATGTATTTATGGTTTCCCTATAAACATTTCTTCTTCTAAGCAAACTGCTTTTTTGCAGAACATTTAAAATAAAGTCTACATGTTAGTATCATGAAAGAATTGTGATCAGGCAGCACAGCCTAAACCTTTTGATTCATTTTGTTTCATATTACAGAAATGTATTTATTTTTCAATGCCATAGCTTTTTCTAACTTTCCTTTTCTTGCATCATTCTGATGGGTGCTTCTTTGTTTGAGGGAGTAAAATTAATTAGCAATTTAGACTGGGATTATGAAGGCAAAGCCACTGTTTAAGCACCCAACTGGCAATTAGTCCAGCATTTTAGGAAAGAAGCGTGACACATTTTATTAAAAAAGAATTACCGTAATCAATCCTGACCAAAAAAAAGCATGCAGAGAGCAAACTGTTTAATTAACAACTTTTTTAAAAAATAATATTTTTTTTCAGTTCAATGTACTTCAGGATACTAATTTGTACTAGTAAAATTATAAAATTGAGCTTTTGGTATTAGTAATTATCAACAATATGTCATCTATGCTTATTCAAATGCCAACTTGTCCTATAAACTTCTTTTCTCAAAGTCATCTCTATATTGTTTGTACAAAATCACTATCATCACAATGTTTAATTGATTAAAATATTGATTTGCAATGATACCCTCAATTAATCAGGTGGCAGATCTTTTTTTAATCCACTCAATAGAAATCCTTATTAAAAACTCCAGATGGCAAACTCACTATTAAAAGAGACATCCCAAGAGTACAAAAGATAAAGCAAAATGTCCAATATGATTGATACAAAGGGCATTCGTATTTGCTCCTACACTCCACCAGAATCAATCAGATTGGCATAGCCTATAAATGCTCTAAAATAAACAGTCTAAAATAAATAATGAATGTTTAAATAGAATATAGACTTAATTCTTTAAAAGTATTTCCTTTCACAAGCACCATATATATTCATTCAAAAATAAATCCTACTGAACCTATGGGCTTTATTTCAAACTGGATGGGAGAAGTGGTGGGTTTCTACCGGTTCGCCCTGGTTCGCTAGAGCCGGTAGCACTGATGGTGAGCTAAAAGTGAATGCTCCGACCGTCAGCTGGGCCCTTCCCCCCCCCCCGCACTATACCTACCTATATTCATTCGTTTTTAGCCCAGCTGATACAGTAGGTGTGGCAGAGTGGATTGCCGCGGCTCCACTGTTCTGACATGCAATGAGCTTGCACGGAGCAAAGTGCGTGCATAAAGCGAACTGGTTGTTATACCAGTTGAAACCCACCACTGTATGGGAGCCATAAATTATTTGTATTTCTTACTCAAAACTAAGTTCAACTTTGTTAAACAGAGTTTATAGTTGCACTCATTTTTCTCAATTTCAATAAAGATATTCAATATTCCTAGCCTTCAGATTAAGAAATTTAAATTGGCTTGGGACATACATACATGCATGCATGCATACATACATATACATACGTGTGTATCTATCTTTTAGTGTATACAGTATGTATAATAAACTAATAGGACAGCAATAAATATAGAAATCTTTCTCTACTATTAGGTCATGTACTATTTAGAAAATAAAAGTATATGCTAACTGGCCTGGATCAGAATATTTGGAGTTAGGGTTTCAATACACTTAGAGGGCATGGTTATAGAAGGCTATGCTATCTCTAATTATTCCAGTTCCTGGATGGTGAAATGTTATTCAGCAATAGATTAAGAGGGCTGATCTAGTTCTATATTGATAGTACATGGATCTCTCTTCTCCCCCCCCCCATTTTGGAGCATCTGTCTCTGACATCTGTCACCCATTGATTAAATCAACTCCTTTTGAACTACAAAATCTGGGCTGCAAAAATCCAGTTGATCAGAAGATGGAAGCAAATCAGTTTTGTGTATTTCTTTGTTGGCATACAGATTTTTGCAGCCTGAATCAGGTATGTCTAGTTGAAAAAATTTCCTTCTGGCATAATATTCATAGTGTTCTTATGGCAAGCCAGATGGCCAAGTAATCCTTTATAGTGCTATTGATTTTATATTCTCTGTACTATAAATATAATTTGTTTCGTATACATGACCACTTATTTTAGATACAGTTCACTTCTGAAATAATAAATAGAGGTATTGGTAAATAAATACACTATAACTTTAACACTATTTCCACAGTAGCAATTTTGATTAACATTGTTATTAAATCACCATATCCTTCATCACAGATCTATGGAATGTTCAATAAGTTAGTCAAAACACGTCACCATTACAGCACATAACGATAATTTGCTTCTCTACTTTAACCAAAATGTTGAATATGAAGGGTCTATGAAATGTCTGCTAGAGGTTCCATGAAGAAAGGGAAAGAGTGATATTATTTTTTTAAAAAAGATTCCATTTGATAATTTATGGGACAGGCAGATATTCAACATTTGAGAAAAAATTCATAAAGCCTTGCTTTTCAAAATGACTATGCCCGTGGAATTATAATCCAATACATGCTTGTGAGAATAAATTCCACTATATTCGGGGGGGGGGGGATTAATTCTGAAATGCATAGGACTCCACTTAAGTTTCCCTTTTATGGTATGAATAATACATTTACTGCAGATATTGCAGCACAACTTAACATATGTCACATGAGCAATTCTTTCTAATGAACCTACAGTTGAAAAACAAAGACAAAAATGAAATAAGAGCAGGCTGGTAGATTTTCTGTATCTCTTTGCAAATTAGCTTAGAGATACTTATGAAATCCAACTTCTTTCTGTCAAATGGAAAATTTGTGTGCAAAATAGAGTCTATAAAGAGCCTTCATTTGAAAATAAGGAACAATTTTGCTTTTAAAGATTTATTTAAATCTCAGATTTTTTTAAAAAGTGAAATAGAACAAATTTTAACAGAAATGTTTAATATGGTAATTAGGAAATGAATTCCTTGCTTTAACATTTTCATGCAAACAGGAAATTTGCTTTCAGTAGGTTGTTAACAGCAAGTTACTCAAAGCCATTCACAAAGGCAGGAACCAAAAATATATATGTTTTAATCATTGAATTGACCACTCCCCAGGGAGAAGAAGGGCCCTGGTGGCTCAGCAGACTGATAGCATTGTGATTAACACCAGCTGTCTGCAATTACTGTAAGTGCGAATCTCACAAGGCTCAAGATTGACTCAGCCTTCCATCCTTTCTAAGGTAGGTAAATTGAGGACCCAGTTTGTGGGGGCAATAAACTGACTTTGTATAAATATACAAAAGTATGAAGGCTATTGCTTAACGCATTGTAAGCCACCCTGGTCTCCGGAGAAGGGCGGCATATAAATCAAATTTAAAAAAAAAAGAAAGAAAGAACATTCTGTCCGTGGCCTCTGGACCATATGTTTGGGATTTTAAAACTTTACCCAAAGGAACAGTATCAATTCATGAAAAAGCAGCATAATTAGGATAATATTTACAGAATATTCTTATCAGCCATCATTTACTGAAAATTATTTTTACTAACAACAATAAAATTGTTTAATCTGGAATCATATTCATTATTTTTAATCCAATAGAATGTAGGAAATAAGTTATTTAAAGGTTTCTGCCTATCCATCAACAGCATTACTCTGAAAAATGAACAATACACAATCAAATATCATCCGAGAGGGAGGGAGGGAGGGAGGGAGGGAGGGAGGGAGGGAGGGAGGAAGGCAGGAAGGAAGGAAGGAAGGAAGGAAGGAAGGAAGGAAGGAAGGAAGGAAGGAAAATTCTTCTGATACATCTCCCCTGAGGACACAGTTGGGCAGTGCTTGGAAAAGTGCCAACTTCTCCACTCTAAGCCCTTTCAATTCCTTCCTCTTGCACATGTATCCCAAAGCAGAGCTCTTATTAAAGATCTTGAAAAAGAAATTCAGAAGGCATATTATGCCTGAAGTGTTGTACCTTATGATTCTTGATGAACGTATCTTTTCTTTTATGTACACTGAGAGCATATGCACCAAGACAAATTCCTTGTGTGTCCAATCACACTTGGCCAATAAAAAATTCTATTCTATTCTATTCTATTCTTTCCATATCGTGTTAGTTAGTCAGTTATTTATCGCTCTTTAAACAAAATACTTTATATTAAAGATTTTAGCAATAGTAAAGGACAAAAACAAAAATCAAATTAAAAGAAAACAATGGAAAGGAAAGCAAGAAAAAATGCAGAAAGAAAAAGGAAAAAGAAAGGCTTTTGAGAAGGCAATGGTGCACCCCATCCACAAGGGGCCACTGCTTGACCCAAATAGTCTCAGGTTGACCGTGTGAGACGCAATCAAAACACAGCAGCACCCTTTTCAGCTCTTTTTGGCCCTCTGTAATTGGACCAGGACGTTCAAATGTTTGGGTGTGGGTGGCGGGTTTGAGAAGACTACTATGAAATACGGGGTGGATCTTCCCCAGTAACGGAGGTAACTTTAGAACCACAGTCACAGGATTTATTGTCCTCACCACTGGGAATGGGCCTAAATATTTTGGTCCCAGTTTCCTACTAGGAAGTCATAGTTTGATGTACTTGGTGGAGAGATATACCATGTCCCCCACCTTAAAAGGTTGGAATGGTGCACGTTTTTTATCCGCCTGGGTTTTGTATGCGATAACAGATTTATCCAATGCCTCCCTGACCTGGGGCCATACTGTCCTTATTCTGTCGGACCACTCTTGGGGCATTGTGGTAGCTGTTGATGAATGACTCAATTCAGGTATTGCTACGAAGTCCCATCCCATCACCACCCGGAAAGGGGTAAGACCCGTACTGCTATGAACCGTGTTGTTATAGGCGACCTCTGCAAAGGGCAAGAGTGATGACCACTCGGTCTGGGTTGCCATCGAACGTGGTCTGCAGGGAGGGCGGTCCCCAGACCGGTTGGGGCCCCCACACCCCAGCCTGCCCAACCGGCACAGCTGGATAAGCCATCGGTCCAGCGGACGGAGCC